TCGCTATGAAGCACATCACATCCTGAAAAGACTTCATACCATGTGGGTGCAAAGGAGAAATCTGTAATCAAACTTTGTCATCAAAAGGTCTAACAGTAAACTCTGATTGGATCCTCCACGATGGTGGCTTTGGGTTTTTGGATCTGAAGTCCACCATTTTCTCCTGACGTGTCGTGATGGGTGGAGCTCACGAGACGCTGCATCGGTTGGGCAGTTGAGCTCTAATCTGAAAAACACCTTCAATGCTGCAGATTGGAAGTGGTAACTTTTACTATTGGAGCATTTTTCACATCCCCCAATAATGAGATAACAGAGAGAATCTCAGATTTCCAAATAATATCAACTAACTCAAGAAGAAAGTATTTCCCAAAATGTCAAACTATACTAGATGATTGAACGTCACAGAAAGGAGGCCAAACTTCTTGCGATACATTGAATACTTACGTCTATACAGTAGCGTGAATTCTAACCTGCTAGTGCGGAATACGACTCCCCTCAATGTAAATGACTGCTGTTGTAGTGGTGAGAGTGATAGCCAGCACGCACCAAACCCGGGCTGCACACTCAAAAGACAAAAGCCGAGCCTTCAGCAGATGATTGCAGTTCACATCCAGGCTCTACTTGAAGCAACAGTAAGAAGTGGGCTGAAGCATTTCACCCTGTAATTGAGCATTTACCCATAACGCCGCGTGGAAGTCTCTTCTTTTTTCCTTTTTTTTCTTCTTTTCAACTCATGCTCCGTGCTTTGAACGAACTTGCAGGGTCTCTGCCGGCTGCCGGAAGGTTTATTTTCACAGAGGCGACTGGTGTGGTCACACTAGTTATTTGCCCGTCTGTACACGTACACGGCAGACTCCAGGGCCGCGAATATGTGCTCACCTCTGCTGGGGACCTGACGTTTAATCCGGCATTTCAGTCCAAGATAAAGGACCCTGTATGTCGTACTGTATCGTGCCGTTTCACAGCAGAGGCGGAGACGGCAAATAAAGTTCCCTGGTTGAAAGTAAACCGGAAGCATCACACGCGTCTAACCACTTGGCAACCAGGACACCTCCAGGTACAGCGATTTGTGTAGAGACGTCTGCTTTAACGGCAATGAGCAGCGGGAAAAACATGCAGCAGGTGATCGATGACCCCACACTCAGCCGGCACGTTAACCGAGCAAATGAGCATCATGTTTCGCAAAGAGAAGGGAATGCCGGTTTAAAGGAAGGAAGAATCCCTTATGTAGTAATTCCAGAAAATGAGGTTTAGATTAAATACCAATATTAAGATTATATTTTTAAATGTCTGTTTTAAAGTTGTATTAGGCGTCTGAGAAGCTTCCAGAATCTCTTTTTGTTCGTTGTACTTCTCAAAATGACGACCCGAACACTTTTGAGGATTGTATACATCGGAGGTTATTCTGCTTATAAAAGGAATCCCTTTTCACTGTTTAGAGTGCACATACCATTTTGGAAAACTGATGAACATTATTACAGTTTTGTAGTAGTCTTGATAACAGCCATTAAGAACTTAAAGGATGTACTCTACAGTGACAGATTTTATTTGCGATACTGTACAATTTTCATCATACCCTGTAATCTGTCTGAAGCAGGTAGGTTCACAATGGGCTTCTTTCTGAAGCCTGAAACAGTCATTTCCTAGTAATTGAAAATATTTTTTTTAAAAGATAATAGCCTGGTTTAAAAAGGTTTAAGAGCAAATAATTGTGGCCTTGTGTGTGTTTGTGATGCATATATATATACTAATAAATTCCCCAGGGCATCTTAAATAAGGTAAAGGAAAAGGAGCCTCCAGGCAGTGAGAGGAGTGAGAGAGGGAGACAGAGAGGGTTTGGCTTCGTCGGAGTTTGGAGCAGGAGCGAGATTACAAGTAGAAACACGTGGACAGGGCCAGGCAGATGCTATGTGTTGCTGGCTACAGATCAGGCTCGCAGGGGAATGCACAGTTTGGGCCTTTTTTAGGCACTGAGCTGCAGCTCTGCCTCGTGTTAATGCGGCATGTAGACCTACTTGTGCAAAGACGCCTGCTCCAAAATAATCGCCTCCAGTAAAAAGCGATTCAATTTGAGTCTCTAAACTGCTTCATCAAGAGCTGCATGAGTCAGTTTATTCTTATTGACAGTCATGACATTTCTGGAGCCGTGACTATGACACTTTTTCCCATCACCTCTTACATTTCAGGCTAATGTCCTTCCACAAGCGACCAATGACAAGTGAGAATTTCTGGAGAGCTTGCGGCTCCATTTCAATAACTTTTGCACGGTTTCTTCTCAGAAACGATGTGACGACAGTGGATCTCTATCGATTGCCTACAATGCCAATGCTAAAAAGTGTGGAGATTTTCTCTCAGCTGAAAAACCTGATAGCGTTCTGAACAAGTATGCTAAATATCTCGTCCTGCAGTTACAAAGCATGTAGCTCAGTGAGGATACAGCGGCACCGTAGGACATTTGAATGCAGCTGAAGTGCCATAAAGTCATTCTGAGCACTTCCACCCAAACCACCAGACTGAACTCTGAGAGACTGGCCGCAAAAAAATATATTATACATCGCAGCAACTCCAAACAGCGGAAAATTACCAGTTCTATTTAAACACTGCCCTGTGAGCTTCTGCTTCTTTCACCCACGGAAAGTAACTGACTAAAAGACTCATCTGGTGATACCTAAAGCAGATTTATTTTGTCTCTTTGCACTTTCAGAAGATATAAAAACAAATGAATTACTGTGTTTTAAAGTTAAAACAACAGATGCAGCACACAGGAACACAGACACATCTTATCCAACAGGTTTCCTCTCAGATAAACAGCATGAACCTGAACAGAACTTCCCTTTTTCATTTAATTCAGAACACCCTGAAACCTGTGATAACTGTATAACCTTAACATTTCCTCCCACTCATGCTTTTCTTCTGGTCCAAAAAAAAGCCATTTAAATGGGTGTGTCTTATTTTGAAAGTGCCCTTGTGGCAGTGTAGATCCCTCTATTGTGGCATTACGCGTGTCACAGGTATTAAGAGATGCAACAATAAAATGTTACGTGCAGTTTTTCCAATCATTTAGTGAAAACTGGGAATACTTTATTGTTAGTAGGCCCTATCAAGATGTAATGCTGGCTAATGAATGACCCTGTATCTACTGTCGTCATTGTTATTTTATGTATGATTTATTTATTTTATTTTCCATTTTTACTCATTGCTGAGGTAATAAACGTAACATATATTCCTTGACTGGTCCAGCGAGCATCACACAGCTGAGCTACAGCATAATTGAACAAAGGCCTTCCATGAACACCAGACTGAGCTCGGTTCAGATTTGTTTTGTTTAACTTGTCAATTGTTTTGTAAAATTATTTTGGGAGGTTGAAATTCTACTCATTGTACATTGTCAGTGTGAAATCAACACTCAACGAAGTGTTAAATCTGCTCAGTGTTAAATGGTGAGACCGATGTGTAGTAAGTAGTGGGAAGCTAGGATGCCCTATTGCTGTTAATGCTTTACATTTCTGTCTTCCTTTTATTGTTTGTGATATTGTCTTACAGATAGTTACAGTTTTGTCTTCTTTGTTAGTTCTGAGCATGTCCATTTCCTGCTATGGTCATAGCATGTGTCAAATAACCAGATGGGAAAACCAGAGGATAACCCTTACGATCAATACTTTCATTTCAAGATAGTGTTTGTGAGTCAGTGATCATAGGCAGAATTCATACTGGAGCTATTTTAATATATTAATTTAAAAATGAGAGACATTTTCTTTTCTCAAATTGGTTACTAGGTCTATTTCAGAACTACAACACACCACTGAGTGTTGATTCCATGAGTTTAATGTCAGAAAAACAAGACAACGCCAGAAAGTAACAGAGAGGTCAATCCGGGCCATACTGCAGTTGTAGAATCTGCAACGTGTCCACAGTGTATGTAGACTGCTTGGTGGATCTGCCAGATTTTCTTCTTTTCTCTCTCTCTCTCTCTCTCTCTCTCTCTCTCTCTCCCTCCCTGGCTGTAACATCATAGGACGTCCATGCCCCTTTTGGAGTGTGTCGATTTTTAACTCAGTTTGTTGCACCTGCTTTAAAACCGTGATCATTTTGGATTCCGGATTGCTTACTTAACGGCAACAAGGATGAAAGCACCGTTAATGGCAGCTTACATTTTATTTATTTGGAGGGTTTACTGCTAGAACGTGTTCAAATTCCTAATTGTGAGGGGGAAATGTTAACATTTCATGTAAGTTAACTGCACCTTTAAGGCACATACAACTTGTAACTGGAGAGGTCTATGATCACTTGCTTCAAGGTGCTTGATACTCAGAAGGGGATAAGGCCAGAATAAAAACAAAAAACTATATTTTAAAGGACGTAAAACTGATAATAGCATACGTTTGATCGCTCTCAAAATATCCCTATACGAAAAATGTTCTTATTTCCTTGTACATAAGAAAGTGTTTTACATCTTGGTTTGCTCCCCGTGCGTAAATTACGCACGAAAGCAAACCATTCCTTCCTCTTTAAAGAAGCCCCTGAGCCTAAAGTTAATATTAAAAGAAGGAAATAACTTCCTGTCCAACCGGAATCCATCCACTTCTCGGTTGAACAGCATATCCATGATCAATTTGGTGCCTATTGATTAAGGCTGAACTGGAGATGGTTCCACAAATAAAACCATTCGGCGTCCAGACGATTGAAAATCAGCTCAAACCACAATGTCTCGGGTTGGAAGCAGAAAATACACAAGCACCCTTCAACAAAAAGCATCAATTAAGAAAGTCCACGGAGGAGCAGAAGATGAGAAAACACGTCTGAACGGCGGCGAGCCGTTGCGTAAATGATGCCCGTCCTCACCATCCACGTTTGAGCTGAAACGTGAACTTGTCTGACATGTTTGAAGACGGCCCCCCTCTCCGAGGAAGGAGGGACTGCGACTTGCACATCCACAAGTTGTTTGGTGTGCACGAGACCTCCCCCAAAAAGCCCGTGGCGTATAAAAGCCAAGCTAACTTTGTTTAGGCAGTAGGGAGTTTCTGCTAGGGTCTGGATTTGGAGTTACACACACCGGACCCTACCCTGTATGAGTGGTGTCTGAGGAGAAGAAAAAACAAAGGATTCCCCCTCTGTCGCAAAGAATCTACATGTCTAATATTTAGACATGTTCAGCTTTGTGGATATTCGGTTAGCGCTGTTGCTCAGTGCAGCAGTGCTTTTGGTGAGAGGTCAAGGCGAGGATGACAGTAAGTAACCCTTTCAAACGTTGCTTTGAGTTCTTTTCGGACTGTGGCATGTTGGAGAGCGCGCAGAGGATGCTGAGCGGTCTGCTGGAGCTGAACGTCCTCCAGTGCGCTTTAGATTCGTGAACGTTATTGCAGTGATGCGGTTTGTGCTTTTTTTTTTTTTTTTTTTTTCGTTGGAGGGTGGGGGGCGGCGGGGAAACTGCAAAGGAATAGAGTTAATATGATCGTTTGCTGCTCTCACGGACGTGCGCGTCCACACTGACCGTGCGTCTTGCGCACCGGAGCGCAAAACTTTGAGGGGAGCAGCTGCATTTTCTCTGAGGCGCAGTGACAGGACATTTGAAGAGTTGAAGCAAAAGTTTAAATCAAATTCAAAATGCAAAATACGTTTAAGGAAGTTAATTGTTAATTGCCTTCAGAGTAGTTTTTGCACAGGTTTTTAAAAAAAAATCTTCCCCTGATTCACAAATATGTGCCATTGACTGTGGACCCTGGAACGAGGAGTTTTCTCTGTAGTTTTAACACCAACGCATCAAAAAGTGGGGAAAGTTTTGAGGGGAGGACCAAACCTGATAAAGCGGAGACCTTACAGCTGTTTTACAGTTGGAAACTCGCGCACAAACGCTTCGTCCCGCAAAAGCATTTTCCAGTTTATGTAAAACTTAGTTTTGTTAGTTGAAAAAAAAGGACAATGGAAAAATCGCCGAAGTCTGACGTCGACACACAAAAAAAAGTCTAGACATCCATTAATCACCAGCTACAGAAGGGCGGGGAGGATCTGGTTTTGGAGGTTGTCAGCGCCGCTCAGTGGCGCACAGTGGAACCGTGCATCCATCCTCTGAACCTCGCCCCCCCTCCCGTACCCCCTTCCACCGGCCCAGCAACACAACCCCCAGCTGGACACGTGATTAGGCCCACTGCAGCTTTCCACTCTTGAACTGCGTCTGATCAGAAATGTTGTATATTGACTTTTGTTTCATTCGTTCTGTTGCGTGATGAGGGCCTGTTTTCTAAGGTTTACCAAGCGCAATAACTTGTACCTCCTGTTTATGGAAGCTGGTGTTACTATACTTAATCAAAAACAGCACATCTGGGGATAATCATTCTCCAAACACCAGAACTAAAACCAAGACTTTAAAAGAATCATTTAATCATGTTTCCATGACTTTTTCCATATCTTGATGAAGCCAAAACATGATGAAGCTATAATTTAGCTGAAATAGCACGTTGAAGAAGGTATATATGCTATATACATTTATATTTTCAACATTTTACAAAATCACATTAAGAACTCCAAAAAAACTCCAAATATGTCTATATGCAAGAGGCCAGAGCTGATTACTTTACTCAAAAGCGAAAGAACATTTGTGAAAATTAATCTGAATGCTATATTGCTCTGCATGTCTAATGTCTGATCTGTACCTGTTCTAGTTACCATATGATGCACACCTGTGCAGGTGTAGCAAGGGCTAACTAAATCTTACCGCACACTGTACATAATAGAGAATAGACAACATCACGCTTGCTCTCTTTCCTCTTCTATTTCTTCTCAGTTTGATGCCCAAACTCACTGTGGTTTATTTTTGACCCCTCAGGGACGTTCGGCAGCTGCACATTAGATGGACAGTTGTACAACGACAAGGATGTATGGAAACCAGAGTCGTGCCAGATCTGCGTCTGCGACAGCGGAAACATCATGTGCGACGAGGTGATCTGTGAGGACACGTCCGACTGTGCCGATCCCATCATCCCAGACGGAGAGTGCTGCCCAATCTGCCCCGACTCCGATGGTACTTCACCTTCACCCTCCCTTCACCAATTCGGTGGTTTAATTAGCATTGTGGCGCCACCTAGTGCCTCCCACCTCACCTCTGACCAACCCCGTCTCACTGGCCACGGACGGACTGGAGGCCCTAATTCCTGCCGGCTCTCCTGAGGATTTTGAGAAAAGAATCAATTTGGATTTACCTTTTGTTTGTCATTTTCAATATGCATCCTCTGAACGGTGGATTTAACCTGCTCTTTGGGGAAATCTGGCCGTGCATGAGTAATTTCACAACACGCATACCTATGAGGTGGCACTGAAGGGTGCAACAGATGTCACTTCTCCCAAAAATACATTCATCATTTATCATTTATTATACCTCTTTACCACTACAGAAAACATTAAGAGGCCGATAAACATGCGTATGAATGCGTCTCATAAATATCCAAGTGATGACATTTTCTTCTTCTCCGTTGCTACCGTAGGAGTCCCGGTCCCAGATGACTATGAGGTACTGAGCCCTTTAATATGGTTTCAATTGATTTAAAAGTGTGATAAAAGTACATGTGTCTCTTTGGAGATGCTGGCATGGCCTAGTGAAGTTAGTCACCACAGCTGCTTGTGTTCAAGATGGTGCACTTTTTATAGTCTGTATGAAACATTGTCGTGTGGCTCATCACTATTTTTTTGTCTACCCATAGCAAACAACGGGAGAAGTTGGCACCAAGGGAGACCAGGTGGGTTTACCCTCACTACTGTGCACCCATGTTTTTATTATAATTGTCGTAAATATTTACCACAAGGACAATATATTGGTGGTCTTTTAGTGTGAAGTGAAACGCAGACTGACATGTTTCTCTGTCGTGTTTGCTATTATTTCATTAACCACAATTTCAAATGTGAAAATAACCACAGCGGTGTTACATCTTTTATGAGCTTGTTGAGTATATAAACCAATCTAAATGCTGTTCAAGCTACTATGACATCATTTGTTTTGATGGCCTTTAATAATTGGGCGACAAGGTCAACAGGTCATCAAAAGTTTAAAGGTCAAACAGTAGGAATTGATTCATCAATGATGGATTAGTATTTAACTGATCATTTCGGAGAAGACAACTTGTAACAAACAGATTCTTAACCTTTTTGCAAATGTACATAATTCAAAATCAGCGCCGCTACATCGGGTGGAAATTACAGATATGTGCAGTCTTAACAGTGTCATTTGTTAATATAAACAACCATTTCATAGAAAAGACTAGTCGACTTTGGTTTGGTTATAATAAAGTCAGCATGGCAAGAATGAATTAAAATAGAAACATTTAGTAATCTGTGAAGTGTTGCTAACCGGGTCGGCCTTACCTTGCGACAGGGTCCCGCTGGTCCTCCTGGCGATGATGGGTTGGATGGAGAGCCTGGTATGCCCGGCCTTCCCGGTCCCCCTGGCTCCCCTGGCCTTGGCGGAGTAAGTATCCACATCCAGGATTTACATTTTACAGATCGCTCAACTCTGTTAACAAATGAGAGACCCCTTTAAAAAAAAGAAACATGGTAGGCTCATTCGTGATATGATCAACGATCATTCTGCATTTTGCACAGATGATTTGTGATTAAGATTAAGATGAAGCTATTTAGTGGGAGTGCAGACAGCTCTCTGATCCTCTTACTCTGTTAGTGGCCCAAAGCGTTTACAACATTTGCCTCAATATCTGTGAGAAAGATTCAGTGACTTTTCAGGTGTCACTTTGAAATACATTGACTCGAGGGTTGTTTCTCCTAAACTCACCCTGTATCTTTTCCCTTTTCAGAATTTCTCTCCTCAGATGAGCTACGTTGACCACTCCAAATACACTAGCCCACCTCAACCTGGTCCCATGGTATGAAGCTTTTGCTCTTTCTCACTTTACCTCTGTTGTTAAAGTTACTCTTTGGACTGAATCTAATGGATCTGTGTCTCATCGACAGGGTCCCAGGGGTCCACGTGGTCTTCCTGGATCAATCGGCGCCCCTGTAAGTAATTCAACAAAACATTTGGCCAGTAACACTGCATCCATGATGCATGCATAAACATTATAGACGACATTGCATAAATATCTGTTGTTCTTGTTGTCCATCAGGGTCCTCAGGGTCCCAACGGCCACCCTGGTGAGCCCGGTGAGCCCGGAGCCTCTGTAAGTACGCAAAATGTTCTGCAAAATAAATGTCTAACCCCAAAAAGTAATGTGTCCCTATTTTTAAAATGATCCTTTTAATGTATTTTTATTGATAATATGTTGCCTCCTACGTTCTACTTCCTGTTTCAATCGCTGACACCGAGTTTTTGCAACTTATGAATACTTTTACATTTACTTTAATTAGATTCCTATTCATTCTTTTCTTGTTGTTGTTTTTAGGGTGCTATGGGCCCTCGTGGTCCCAGTGGTCCCGTTGGAAAGAACGGAGATGACGTAAGTGACCTATTGATCATTTTCACCCCTGCTGGTTGTCATTTCCATTCATGAAACAGAGAAGGAAAGACATTTAATTGGTTCTTGTAACACAACACTGTTTTGCATATTGTTCTGGATACGTCACAACTCCTCCTTCGTTATTCATTAATTGCCTCAAAGATACTAACGCAGGCCGCTAACCTCCTCTCTGTGTCTTAAAACAGGGTGAGGCCGGCAAACCCGGTCGCCCCGGAGAGCGTGGAGCCGCTGGCCCTCAGGTGAGTGACGCCCATTGAGGGCAAAGGTTTTAAAAGGATTTTAGTAGTGTTCAAACTCTGCAGGGGCAGAGAGCTCCGTATGTCCATTGCAGGACATCGTCACGCGTGAGACATAGTTACTAACTTGTCTCTTGGTTTCCTCCCGCAGGGAGCTCGTGGATTCCCCGGAACCCCCGGACTCCCCGGCATCAAGGGACACAGAGTGAGTTGGGAGGAGCATCGGCTACTGTTTTTAACTGCCGTGACGTTGCCCCGAGGTGACCGACTCCCGTTTGACTTTGTGCACAGGGCTTCAGCGGTCTGGATGGATCCAAGGGAGACGCTGGACCCGCAGGTCCCAAGGTAGGATAGCAGGGCGTGCTCCTGACAAGGAAATTGACACAGAAATTGCACCGAAACTTCACTCTGAACCAAATCCCTCCTGCCATTGTCCACAGGGAGAGAGTGGCGCATCTGGTGAGAACGGTATCCCCGGCGCATTGGTACGTTGCCGTCAGATCTCCATCTGTTTATTGACACGTACAACACTGATCAATGCCTCCAAAAAACAGAATCAAACGCCAAGCTAATATTGTCCATTTTATCGTGGTCTTCTCCAGGGCGCTCGTGGTCTCCCCGGTGAGAGAGGCCGCCCTGGACCTCCTGGTGCTTCTGTAAGTGTTGTGGTTCCTCTCATTCTACACGTTGTTATATATTTTTGTGTCCATTATTTGAAGTAGGTACGATTCCTGTAAATGACTTTAATCTAATCTCCGACTGCTCTGCAGGGTGCTCGTGGTAATGATGGCAACACTGGTGCTGCTGGACCCCCTGTAAGTGTTATTTTTGTGTTTATTGCTGAAGTGCATCTAATTAACATTCCATGAAATGTACAGATGTCTGTGTGGTTGTCTGCTAACATCACCGTGATTGTTTGTTATTACTTTTCAGGGCGCTACTGGTCCTTCTGGTGCCCCTGGATTCCCCGGTGGTGCTGGTGCTAAAGTAGGTCACAACACATTTTTAAGATCCAATCCACACTAGTTTGTTCTTATTGTATATATTTAGTTTTATTGTGTCCTTTATTGTTTCATCCATGTTTAAATTGAACTTTAGATGATCTATCTTCTCTATCTGTTTGTTTTTATTGCCTTTCTTCCGTCAAAGCACTTAGTAAACTAGGAGCTTTATGAGCAATGTTATTATTATTTGACCAAAAACATGCACTGACCGACAGGCTTGAAAAGGTCTCTCCACCTTAGAGAAGTTGCTGCGCCGCTGTGCTTCACTCATTCCCGTCCAATTAAATCAACAACCGTATTTTATTTTTGTTGCTGAACCCTTTATAACTTACAGCTACAGCTTGGTCCTTCACACACGGGTTTCCCCCGGCGGACATGGACACTGTTTTAACATGCAGTGCGTTAAGTGGGTCTATAAAGATTAAGCCCCCGTCCCTCCACTTGTTTGTTGGGAGTTGTTGGTAGCCAATATCAAGACTTCAGCCACCAGATGGCATCAGTAGACCACTAATAGCCCCCATAGCTGTCGCTGCCTCCCCCTCCCCATCATATCCTGTACCTACACACACACGGGTTATTTGCAGTAACAGGGGTATGCATATACCCCTATGGGCCAATTTAAGATTAGTGGGTTGACTATTTACCCTCTTTATTTGTACTGTAAAATCCAAGTTCAAGCTATATTCTAGAATAAACGTATCTTTAAAATAATGTCCCAAGATGGGTTATTGATTGATTGAGAAGCTTATACTATTCATGTTTTCTGAGACTGCGTTGCTTGCTTCGGCAGGGAGAGACCGGCCCCTCAGGAGGCCGTGGAAAGGATGGACCCCAGGGAGCCCGTGGTGAGGCTGGTAACCCAGGACCTTCTGGACCTGCTGGAGCTGCTGTGAGTTTAGAAACAGGAATTTCTACATGGCAAGGACTAATACAAATGCTAAATGCAATTCAGTGCTAAACGCATCCCCTCTCAACAGGGTGCACCCGGATCCGATGGCTCCCCTGGTGCTAAGGGTTCCCCTGTAAGTATCCCGCTCACTGATCAAGTTGAATCCTGCACATGAGGCGTTCCTGACACCCCGACTCTCCAACCCCGCAGGGTGCTTCCGGTATTGCTGGTGCTCCTGGTTTCCCCGGCACTCGTGGTCCTGCTGGAGCTCAGGGAGCCGTTGGTGCTCCTGGTCCCAAGGGTAACAATGTGAGTAGGGCTAAGCATCTGAGAGAATCTGGGGATACGTATCACGACACAACGGTTACGAATATAACGTAATTATTAGGGCATGAATTTTGTCCGGCTGCACAATGCGTTTTGTGAATTCAATTTTCTGTATTCTTTTCTCTCTTAACCGCTCTTAGAGATTATTTTAGGGACTTCTATAACAGCGATGCAGACTATATTGTGGTTTTTAAAATCTAACTATGGGAACACCATCCACTTATAAAGATCACAGGGCCACATATATGAAATCTGGAAAACACGGATCGCCATTCGTTTGTTTTATTTAGATTCACTCTTCTTCACTGTAACCTGAGAGTCAACATTAAATGTGTGTGTTCTGCCAACAGGGCGATCATGGGCTTCCTGGTCCTAAGGGAGAGCCTGGTGCCAAGGGAGAGCCTGTAAGTTTCACAATTCATCAATCTATTTTATTTTTGTTTTTTTGGGATGTATGTACTCTTGTAACCTTCCTCTTCTCTTTTTTTTCCCAGGGACCCGCTGGAATTCAGGGACTTCCCGGCCCCTCTGGTGAGGAGGGCAAGAGAGGAGGACGCGGAGAGCCCGGTGGTGGTGGACCCCGTGGACCCCCTGGAGAGCGCGTATGTTGCTCCTTCGTTTTACCGAACCTCTGTTGGATATTGTAGGTGCATCGATAAAAACAATGCAATTCTTTCTTGATGCCACTGGGAGCAGCCGTGGAGTTGGATATCCATCTACCTCTGTTTTTGAAAAATTACTAATGTTATTCAGTGTTCTTTGAAAAGCCTTCTGAACATTTACGGGTACGCTAAATTCCCAAGGGGATTTACCACTCAAAGTCCGAGTGCTTCCACCACAGTTGCTGACATTCTTGACTGTCTGTGTTCCCTCAGGGCGGCCCTGGTCCTCGTGGTGCACCTGGAGCTGATGGAGCAGCCGGAGGCAAGGTGAGCATTTTACCCACAAGTTCCCGACCAGGTCACGAGTATGTTTGTAAAACTGGCTTAACGTATCCACACCTCACACGAGGGAACTATAACCGGCATGAGAAGAGATTCATTTGGACACATGTTAAGGAAATGAACCCTTCAAGTTAACTGAAAGTAATTTGGGTCATAAACCTAAACCACTCGTGAAGAGTTACCCTGACTTTGGCCCCCGCTTTTGTGACAGGGAGCCCCCGGTGAGCGTGGTGCAAATGGCCCAGCAGGAGCTCAGGGAGCAACCGGTGAGACCGGTATCTCCGGTGCTCCTGGCGCACCTGGATCCAAGGTGAGATCTGCAAAATCTTTCTTTCTGTTGAGCTCCCACAGCACACTATAGCAAACTCACCGAATGGCCTTTCTCTCACAGGGTATGACTGGTAGCCCCGGAAGCCCCGGCCCTGATGGAAAAAGTGGACCTGCTGTAAGTACCGACTTCAAAATAGTTTCATATAGATGACCATGTACTCAATGTAACAGAGAAAAACTGTGGCTTCTAAACAGTCTGTTTAATCAGCATATGAGTCTCTTCAGTATTCTCCTTATTGTGCTGATCTTTAGGGTGTGTCTGGACAAGATGGACGTCCCGGACCCGGTGGCCCTGCTGGATCCAGAGGACAGCCTGGAGTTATGGGATTCCCCGGACCCAAAGGAACCAGCGTGAGTTACCAGCCTGAGTCATTTTGTTTGGAAACACCAAAAATAGAGCTTTCTCAGAAGGTGCATTGTAAATGATACGGCAGACTTAAGTGTGAATTTTGTTCTTTTTAACAGGGCGAGTCTGGTAAGGGCGGTGAGAAAGGACCAGATGGTTCTACCGGACCTGTCGTAAGTACTACCTGTGCAAATCAAACTCTCATCAGTGTGATCAATGTTTGCCATTAAAATGAAAGCACAAAAACAGTTGATAATTGAGTTTGGTAATGCTTTTGTTCCGCAGGGTGCCCCTGGCAAAGATGGTGATGTTGGTGCTCCTGGACCTTCCGGCATTGCTGTATGTATTTCACTTAACTTAACATAAACTAAAAAAACATGAGAGTGTCACAACGTTTCTCATCATTGGCTTGGCCTCTCTTTCTTCAGGGACCTGCCGGAGAGAAGGGAGAGCAAGGACCCGCTGGACCTCCTGGATTCCAGGTCGGTTTTGAAAGTGCTCTTTTTTTGTCGTTTAGTTGACGTACCTCTGAGCAGCGCCACTTGCTGACTCCAAAGTTTCTCCTTCTTTTCGCAGGGTCTTCCTGGACCCCAAGGTGCTACTGGTGAGACTGGCAAGCCTGGCGAGCAGGTGAGAGTCACAATGCCATGTGCTGTACTTCAATCAGTAAAAAGTCCAGAAATACTTGACGTAGTCAGATATAATGTTTTCTGGTTTCTCATGGGAGGTCCCTTAATTAATTAACTCCTCTCTTCTTCAGGGCGGTCCCGGTGAGCCCGGACCCTCTGGCCCATCCGGACCAAGAGTGAGTTCAGTCTACGTTTTGGAAACAAAGCATTTGCCTCCCCTCCATATTAATCACTGTTCCTCTGGTCTTTCGCTATATTGGTCATGACCCGTGTGTTCCTTCTCTGCGTTAGGGAGAGAGAGGTTTCCCCGGTGAGCGCGGTGGCAACGGACCCGTCGGCCCAATGGGAAGCCGTGGTTCTCCTGGCCCTGCTGGTAGCGATGGAGCCAAGGTAAGTAAAAAGAAAAGGAAATAAAGCACAAAAACAGCTTTTGAAATAAAAGAATAACCACTAACAAGGTCAACTAGCGACACATCTAAAATAGCAACATGTAACAGGGAAGTCTTTTTTTTTTAAAAGCCACGCTTTTCTTTTCTTTTTTAATTACACCCAATATTTCAGAAATAATACACAATAAATTATGTTATCACTATGTAAGACAGTTATCCAGAATCGTTACATTGTATAAAATATTAATCACAAGCAATATGCCACCCCCTCAAACTCTAGGGAGCAAAAGTGAGCAAATCTATACTTTTTAAAACATTTATAATGCTAATGCCTACTCCTTATTTTATGATGATAATATCAATTATTGGGGAATTTTCTGGAAAGTGTCATATGAGCAATGATTTACTAACATGTGGTCCAGCTATTGCCAGCTTGAGGATATTGAAGCCTTCTCATATTCATTCACATTTAGAGCTGAGATGATCAGAAGAAAAAGTGTCTAGCATGGCCACGTTTTTTTTTATGCTAATCACACCCAACCTGCACTCTCTTGTCCTGTCCTGTCCTGTATATTTCCATTTAAAAGGCAGTCTTCAGTTTTCATTCCAGACCTTACCAACAGGTTGCATTCCATTATTTGCAACCAGGAATAGCAGCTTTACTTTTGAGTAGTAAATTCTCACTGGGCTGCAACACAGCCTGGAAGGTGGAGCCTCAGAAAAATCATGACAAAACCCTTACTAAGAAAACCGAAAGGACAAACAATGCTCTTCATCCTTTAGTATCCACCACTGGTGTAGATAAGAGAAAGAGCAAAATGATTAAATGGATAGTTTCCAGCACTCACACACATTAAGACACACAAGAAGCTGCTACAGAATCCTAACTTTCTTAACACTAAAACCAATGGTTCTAAATACAGTCTGTGTTTTAAAAAAGAAAAGCCAAATTATCCTTTTAGCTTCCAAAGCCTTGAAAAAACATGAAACCTTCTGCACTTTCACTTGACATTGTTGTGAACAAATTCCAGTGGATTGTCACCTGCAGCTGATTGAAAAAGCTCAGTAATTGATAATGTGTCTATATATTTGTGCAGGGAGAGGCTGGTGCTGGTGGTGCCCCCGGTGGTCAAGGAGGCCCCGGTATGCAGGGAATGCCCGGTGAGCGTGGAGCAAGTGGTCTCCCCGGCATCAAGGGAGAGAGAGTAAGTATCAAACCTGCACAGAAGATGACCCATAGGGTAAAATAACCAGAAAAGTTTTTGATTTTAGTTCCTTGTTTTCAGATATTTAGTTGATTTTATTTAGGTTATAATCAAAAAACAATTGTAGATTAGATATCCAATGTGTGTGAGACAGGAAGTGAGACCAAAGTAACGAGACACATATAAAGAAATAACATACGGTTAAATCTCTCTGATAATTAGTCAATTAAGAATGAGCAACATATGGGCTCTTTTTTATAATTAAGGATGGGTACCTGTGAAAAAAAGTTATTAATAAACATTCTCTCTTCAGGGTGATGTTGGAGCCAAGGGAGGTGATGGCGCACTCGGCAAAGATGGCGTGCGTGGCCTAACTGGTGCTATTGGACTTCCTGGACCCCCTGGTACTCAGGGTGAGAAGGTGAGGCCAAGTTAACACATCAGTTATCCAGGTCAATGATCTTTGCTAATTTGTTTTGCAGCCTCTCTCTTTGCATCTGTTCATGCATAGTATATCACTGAACATACTTATCTCAAATGGTATGATAGTGGGGAAGGGAGGCATGAGTCATTGATGACATTATTTGTGGATATTTTCTATTTAGATTTGGTTTGTGGCACAGCTTTCTCTGGTAGGACTTGGGTTAGAAGTGTTTAGGATGAAACCTGACCTGGCCTTCTTCTCCCCCTCTGGTTTTAGGGTGAGGGTGGTGCAGCTGGAGTTGCTGGACCCACTGGTCCTCGTGGTTCCAATGTAAGTGCACCTGATCAAGGACTTGATGGAAAACATAATCACTTTTTACTGTATCTTCACCAATAGATATGCAGAGCATGATGACAGGTGATCATGAAAAATGATTAAAAAATGTTAATTACTATAACAGGGAGAGCGTGGAGAAACTGGACGTCCTGGAACTGCTGGATTTGCTGGACCTCCTGTAAGAATCTGGCGTGTTTTTTTTTTTAATGGATATCTTCAAAGCTGGACACAATAGAGCAAGTTGTCTTGAACTGTTTCCTCTCTTGCCCTCCAACCTCAGGGTGCTGATGGTCAGCCTGGGGCCAAGGGAGAGTCTGGTGAGAGTGGACCCAAGGGAGAAGCTGGTGCTCCTGGACCTGCCGGACCTGTTGGAGGTTCTGGTCCTCAGGTAAGCCCACATGCCACACAAATGCATATCCATAAATGAAATCATGAACGCCACTGCCAACCTTTTAACTTGAGTTCCATATTTCTGTTTAATTATAAATGTTTGTTCCTGTGTTGTTCATTTATTCATCATATTTTTGTCAATAGGGACCCGCTGGCCCATCTGGACCTAAAGGTGCTCGTGGTGGTGCTGGATCCCCTGTGAGTATCCCATCAACATGTGGGATTTGGTAGAATGAGATGCCACAGTGATGATCATGATGATTGTGGAACCGGTCTTGCTGTTTTACGCTCCCATCACTGTATCTCTTCCTGTGTGCAGGGTGCTACTGGTTTCCCCGGACCCGCCGGCAGAGTCGGAGCCCCTGGCCCACCTGTAAGTTTCACCTTGTCCGTGTAACCAGAAGTAAAAGCCAACACAGTCTGTTTGCACGCCACCATTGCCTGACCGGAGTCATCTGCGTGTCTGCAGGGACCTGGCGGAGCCCCCGGACCTGTTGGAGCCGTTGGCAAAGAGGGAGCAAGAGGAAACCGTGGTGAGACTGGTCCCGCCGGTCGCCCTGGTGAGGTTGGCAGTGTTGGACCCGCAGGACTCTCAGGAGAGAAGGGATCTCCTGGCCCCGACGGAGAACGTGTGAGTTGTAATTCTGCAATAGATATTCTGTGAAGGAGGTCCAAAGCCTAAAAGGTCCCTATGGTGATTTGTTTTGTATTGTACGCCTGCCGACTGAGCACTGTATCGTTCTGTGCAGGGTCCCAGTGGTCTACCTGGACCCGGAGGTATTACTGGAAGGCCTGGTCCTGTAGGTATAACTGGACAGCGTGGAGAGCGAGGTACCATAGGAATTTCTGGACCAGCTGTGAGTATCCCCCAGAATCAGAACTGAAAATAAATTGCATGATGTTGACATGATGTTGATTTCAATTCTTTCCACTCACCATCAGGAGGTGACTCTTGTGCGTGTAAATATAAGTCTGACTACATAGAAATCTTTGAGAAAATGACCCTACTTTGAACTTGATTTTCTCAGTAAACATTGTAAACTGTATCATGATGACTAGGTCCATTACTTATTTACAGTCTATGGTTAGGGAGCTTTGAAAAAAAAGTAATATTCCCCAAAACTGCAGTATCTCTAAATAATCTCTCTCAACCAAATCACCAACAAATGAATTCACTGAAATTTTCTTAAAAAACTTGACTTCCCTTTCCCACAACCGCATTTCCCGAAAAATGTATGGAGCCCCCATGGGGAGACCTGCTTACCAATCCTCTTCTGCATATTATTTCTAAAGACCTCCTCAGAACTGACCTCTCTTGTCTTGTTGCTCCTCAGGGCGAGCCTGGAAAGCAGGGACCCTCTGGACTTCAGGGAGCACGTGGACCCCCTGGGCCCTCTGGACCTGTTGGACTGCCTGGTGCTTCTGGAGAGGCTGGTCGTGAGGTACGAGGCCTGTAGAGTACTCACACGATTGAATGCATTCAGTGGGCAACAGGGCGTGTATTAAAGCTGCCAATGACGATTGACCTCGCTGCTCTTCCACAGGGATCTTCTGGTCACGATGGTGCCCCCGGTCGCGATGGAGCTGGTGGCCCCAAGGTATCCCTCCTCCTATAGATACAAAGTTCTCAACTTTCTGCTGTGTTTTTGGTCTCAGCTCTAGTATCTTCAGTACAGCATATCTTCTCAATAGAAACTAGCTTCAAGCTGCCTAGCATTGTCTCACTGGAGATTTGCCCCCTATAGGGAGACCGTGGTGAGACTGGTAATAGTGGAGCTCCTGGATCCCCTGGTGCTCCTGGAGCCCCCGGAATGGCCGGCCCCTCTGGCGCGACTGGTGACCGTGGAGAGTCTGTAAGCCCTCTTCCAACTCATCTGGAAATATGTCACTAAATTGCAGATAACTTTTCTTTTGATCTGAATTTCTTTTTACTCTCCCCTTTGTTTAGGGTGCCGCTGGCTCTGCCGGCCCTGCTGGCCCTGCTGGTGTCCGTGGTCCCGCTGTATGTTTCATCATTACCTAACATCATCAATAAGCATAATATTTGAGATATTGCTGCAGTCTTGTGATGAATCATGACCCTATGAACCTGAGATGGCGCGTTGACCTCCCGTTGTTGCCGTTCAGGGCCCTGCTGGTGCAAAGGGAGACAGAGGAGAGGCTGGTGAGGCTGGAGAAAGAGGACACAAGGGACACAGAGGATTCAGTGGCATGCAGGGTCTGCCCGGCACCGCTGTAAGTAATTGCTTCAAGTAGTAGAGTAGCGAAAAACTCTGTCAACTTCTGTCAACTCTGTCAGCACAATGTAAACAATGTAAACATTCTCACTTTCAATGCGTAATATTTAATATTCATCTTATTCCACATATAGGGAAGCTCTGGAGAGAGGGGACCAGCTGGCAGCTCTGGACCTGCTGGACCCAGAGTAAGTAACCAGTTTCACAAGTAGTTCTTTGCACAAAAAATGAATTCACTTCCAATCAGGTAGTTGTGGAGTGCCAGTTTTTAGTCTTCCACCACAGAACAAAAAACATGCAAATGATCCGCAGGACATATTCTTTTCAAAACAAAATGGAAAATCATTGAAAGTAAGTGAGTGTGAGTTATTTAATTTCACTCATTTAACTGTTTTTGCTCCATAGGGACCTTCTGGATCTAATGGTTCTCCTGGTAAGGATGGCATGAACGGTCTGCCTGGACCCATCGGACCCCCTGGACCTCGTGGTCGCAATGGAGATATGGGACCTCATGTAAGCACTATGACCTTTCAAGCGAACTACTTGTGCATACAGGCACTTCCTGTGTCTGCAGTTTGTAAACCTACGGTGTGATCAAACAGGGTCCTCCTGGACCTGCTGGACTTCCTGGAGCCCCTGGAAGTCCCGGCAGTGGCGGTGGATGGGTGATCCCTCCTAGTAGTGTCAAGGGACACGATGACTACCGCGCTGATGACGCCAACGTGATGCGCGATCGCGACATGGAGATCGACTCTACCCTGAAGACCCTGACCAAGAGGGTTGAGAAGATCCGCAGCCCCGATGGTACCCAGAAGACGCCAGTCCGCATGTGCCGCGATCTGAAGATGGCCCACCCTGAGATGAAGAGCGGTGAGTGCAGATCAAAGCCCCGATGGATGCTTTTAGATGAAAATTAGGATGAGATTTAAATATTGTATGTTCCTCTATTGCAGACCAGTACTGGGTTGACCCCAACCAGGGATCCATCCTGGATGCCATCAAGGTCCACTGCAACATGGAGACTGGCGAGACTTGCATCTACCCCAGCGAGTCCAGCATTCCCATGAAGAACTGGTACCTCAGCAAGAACATCAGAGAGAAGAAGCCAATCTGGTTCAGCGAGTCCATGACTGGTGGATTCCAGGTAAGAAGTCTAAAGCTTTCCCGCTCTGAATTAACATCTTCCTTGGAGCTGTTGGAACAAAGCACATTTGCAGTGACAGTAAAGCCCATTCACACCTTCACCTCCCTTCACCCCGCAGTTCCAGTATGGCAGTAATGGAGCTGATTCCGAGGATGTCAACATCCAGATGGCCTTCATGCGCCTGATGTCCAACCAGGCCTCTCAGAACATTACATACCACTGCAAGAACAGCATCGCCTACATGGACTCCGCCAGCGGCAACCTGAAGAAGGCCGTGCTTCTCCAGGGACCCAACGAGGTCGAGATCAGAGCCGAGGGCAACAGCCGCTTCACATACAGCGTCAGCGAGGATGGCTGCACGGTGAGTTTGATTTATTTTGAAAGTTCCAAAAGAGGAACCACAGACAAAGAAGACGGTTTGACTTTCGGTATCTGAATATTCTTTTTTGTTCCTCTCCACAGTCACACACTGGCACATGGGGCAAGACAGTCATCGACTACAAGACATCAAAAACATCCCGCCTGCCCATCATTGACATTGCTCCTATGGATGTTGGTGCACCTGATCAGGAATTTGGCGTCGAAGTTGGCCCCGTTTGCTTCTTGTAAAAAGAAAGAAAAATGGACATGACATTGTTGTTTTTTTTCTAGCAGTCATCTCTAAACCTTTTTTCTATGCATTCAAAACTCATTCGGCTGCCATTGGTCCACATGCTTAAAACCACTCTACGGAAGACGATGTTTGTGTTTTTACAATCAAGTTTTTGGGACTGCTTCTTCAACCAAAACCAACCACAAGGACACTTTAAAAAGAATCTTTTGTTTCCGCTGGCAACAAGAAAATAATATATATATACTTGTGTAAAATTTCCCCCTGGAGATTAAGAAAAAAAAGATCCACACACCCAATGAAACACAGGTCACTTTTGCCATTTTTCTACCACTGCGGAAGGACATTGAAAACAACAAGTGATGTGTACCATTTTTCTGGTGTTAAATAAATTGTAAAAAGTGTGCAGTGTCTTCTTGTTGTAAATTCTTGAGAAAAAAAAGAGAAAACACCTGAACGTTGCGTCAGATAAAGACCAGCAAAAGGAGCCAAAACAAAGAAGCTCACCTTTTCGCTGCAGTACGTAGATTACCTCATTACAAGAAGGCACCGCTGTTTTTTTTTTTCTAAAATGAAAAGGGAATTTTTTACACAAGTCTATTGTGGGGAAATCAGAAACATTCAAAGGTGCTATTACCATTTCAATGAGGTCCAGATATTGGTGTTTGATGGTGGAACTCCATACTGTAATTATTGCCACTAATGCCTGCAGATCCTTTGGTGCTACTAAATTGACTTATTGTCTTGTTGTTTATGCACGGCAATTGTTTTCTTCTGAAGTGTTCTGAAAAGGTGATCACTGCAGATGTAATGCATGCAATCATGTTTTTGTAGATAAAAGCAAGTGATTCTGGTTCAATATCATTTCCCTGCACATTTGTTCAGTGTTGATCCATCTGTCTGTTTGCCTCCTTGTGGAAAAACTCCTCTTCACTAAAACCAAAAAAAAGAAACAGCACACATCTCCCACCCTGTTGTTAATGTTTTTGTCGATGTCTTTCGCAAAGGGTTTCTTAAAAAAGAATTTGAAGCAGACCCACTTTCATGGTTTAAAACAGAGATTCTGTACTTATTTTGTACATGTATAATACATTGAGATGTTTTTAATTATTTTGGGTGCTGAAATAAAGCATGTGAAGTGGTCTACTCAGTGGCTGAGTTTTCACTGTCCTCTTTTGCAACTGTTGTGAAACTGAATCAGGTTTTTGGAGAGTTACACCAACGGTGCATTGCACATGTTCTAATAGAGAGAGAGAGAGAGAGAGAGAGAGAGAGAGAGAGAGAGAGAGAGGAGCAAAAGGCTGTTTGTGATGCATTGAAAGCTTTAGGAATCAAATGTTCCACAACAATTGCACTGAGAACATTTCTATAAAGCAGCAGTGAAAACAAGGCCAATTTCCAATCATCCAACCTGGCTTTCCTTCATCAATACACACACAATTGTTACTTTTTGACTAAATATGCACATAAAAGTTCCTTTTGAAATCTGAGATATAAAAGTCAGCAGACTGCAAACAATCCAGCATCGATCAAGCCGTTTTTAGGTCTCTTTTTGTTTTGTTTTTCACAATCACTTTAAAATGGGCAACTGGATCTGCATGAGAATGATGTTTGTCCACAGAACAAATTGAGTGTCCGACCTGAAACCTGAAGTGGATACACTGATGACCCCTTCTGGAAGTTTCCATAACAGCTGAATCAAATAGAAAAAAAATACTTTTGGCACAAATTTGTTTTTGGTTTAAATTCTGTCATCAGCAAAAGCAAAGCTTTCCTGTTTTTTAAAATGTGTCTCAATTTAATTGCCCTCTGACCTTCTAGGCCTTGCTGAATAACAATGGAGAATGTGGCTTTTAGTATTTTTTTATTGGTAGCAAACGATGGAATATATCATATTATGAATGGCAAATAACAAAGAAACAAACAACTTTTATTCTATTCTAATGGCACGAAAGATCAAATAAGATACATCTCACTGCAAATATAGAACCAAAAGCTGGATGAATGACTCTTCATTTCATTTCATTTCCTGAAAATCGAACAAATTGATTTAGACTGTGTTCTTGGAATCATCCTCAGTAACCAAAGAAATAACATAAATACAAAGCAGAAAGTATGAAGGACTGTAACAGGACGTCCTGTGATCAGGTTTACCTGGGCAGCGTGTCACAGTACGGATCACTAAGAAAACAGGAGAATAACAAAATATACATTACTATTTAAAAGTTACACAACAGTAATAACGATCTCAGGGCGGGGTCCTTACTGCTGGGCCATGATGAGGGGGATGCTGGGGCTGTCCGACTGCAGCGGTGAAGCTCTGTCTCCGGTCCGGCTGTTGAACATGGACCGCGTGGACAGAGGTGGAGGAGCGCCGCGGTCTCCGGCCATGTTCCTCAGCTCGTCGGCGTTCCCGTGAATAGTGTGGTGGTGGTACAGCTGAATTCTGCAGCACGACACAACATCACACGTCAATGGCGAAACCCAATGACCGGTGGGTTTCAGCATTCAATACCACGCTGAGACGATAGTGCAAGTTCTTCTTTTATTGCCTTACTTAAGTGAAATGATGTATCAGCAAAGTGAAAGTATTGATTGTTCACTGTCAGTGATTTACTTTTATCCATACATCTCTTCATTTATATTCCTATTACTAGCCTACGCTGCATTATAACTTCTTTATGTGCGGTTGGTTTGTTTTATCGAAATCAATACATCATATTATATAAGATCATCATACTGGACAGGAAGCGGAAGAGACATTGTAAAAATAAAGTTGCACATATTAGGGAATACTCATCTGAAGTACAAGGACCTCCAATTTACAGTACCTAAGTAGATGCACTTGTTACATTCCACCACTTATCAATGCAGACATGTCGGTAAAAGCATCAATCCCAGAACGGAAAGCAATGTACTCACTGGTTTGTTCTTGCATTCCTTTTTGCACTGGGAAAAAAAGAAAGAACAAAATGTAAATTCTTTGTTGCAGTTTATCAGGATCAACCCAAAGCTTTGAGTATTTGCTTAAACGGTCCATTCGCCCACATAACATCCTCCCAAACCTCCTGGAAATGCATTTCATCGGGAAAATGTTTTTTTTAACGTGGTAGAACCGACTCGTTAATTCCTTCATTCGGTAGATTTCAGAAACATGCGTACACTCCCTCTCGTCTTCCAAACATGATGTAGGCCAGCAGCAGACAGAGGACGATGGCGAGCACCAGGGGCACGATCACCGTCACGATGTAGTCCGGGAAGAAGTCTCTGCTCGGAGGAGACTCGGGGGGGCTGAAGTCGCCGCCGTCCTCCAGGATCCCCGAACCCACGGTGGGAGGAGGAGGAACCGGCTTCCTCTTCGTCAGATCAAACTGCAGGGAGGAACAAGGCGGAGGTCAAAGACATGTTGTTTAAATCGGGACCCCTTTCATCTTTGGGTTTAGAGCATTTAAAGGTCGTCAAATGGGAGAATTTGCTGCTATTCTCGGTTGTATTTGAATTAACAAAATAATAAAAACAAAAATACATTGTAACATTATTTGTGTGAAATGCATTTGAAATGTGAGAGATTTACATTGTCAGGCCCTCAGAAGCGCCAAATATGCATCTGAACATTTGTGGATTTTTAACATTTTACTGTGATCACAAGTTGACACAACTTTGAATTCTTTGTCTTGTAAAACGGAAATTTCATTTTGCTTAATCAGACGGGTTATTGCAAATTTCCCAACTGTGGGACTTCTCAAGGATGTTCTAAGCTTATTTTACAGTAACTAAATGTAAAAATAGGTTGAAGATAGATGGACTATTCTTTTGTAATTCAAATACTCTTTAAAGACAATGTCATTCACGTCTTCCACGAAAACCCACGACACAAACACCGCTTTGCTCATTCAGAGTCATCAGATACTTTTTGTTGCCTCACCAGCTGCGTCTGGCACCAGGTGATGCAGTTGGCGGGAATGCTGCAGAATTCGCAGCCTTTTGGGGCCTTGACCGTGTCCCCTTCTCTGCACTGCTTTTGATGCTCTGTTGTCTTCACACTCAGCAGACAATGTGAGAAGTACTGCTCCGACCCCACCTTCACGTACACACTGACACAGAATTAGATGTCCGTGAACGCGCGGTCGCTCCAGGGTTTGAGAATGACAGCATCTGGGATCTCTCGGCTCACCCTTCAAAGTGTCCCGGCAGGGGGAGGGGAACTCTGCCGCCGCGGTCGAGGGCGCTGGTGACATTGACGATTTCCAAGGCCTCGGCGTCCCACATGTTCTGTACGTCCTGCTTTATCTCGTCCTGGACAGAAGAGGGCAGCACCTTCTCAATCTCCCTCAGCTTGAGGAAGAACTCTGCTTGGAAGGGCAGCATCTTCTCTGTGAGTAACAGCAGGGACGTTACCTTCGCACTCAGTAATTTAACTGCACACGGCTGCGTTTGTGATGTCATTTAAATGAATCTCACCCGCTGTGGCTTTGATAACGAGTATGAGTCTGGTTGCTTCATAGCTCCGTTTGTTGATGGCGTAGATCTGTCAGAAGAAGGATGAGAGTTTATCCGACGTGGTTTTCATATTATTTTTCTTTTTGTGATGTTTGGGGCAGTCGAGAGGATGTCTGCTTCTACTAGATTTTCTTCTTTTCTGCTTCTGAACTAGCTTTTCTACATTTCCCTTAATGCCTCACCTTCTTCTGATGAATAAACTGATGATTTCTGTCTGTTGAAAGTGACTTTTTAAATTCATTTTTAAAAACATAACTACAGTTATGTAATTACAGTTATTTACATGGACTAAATGGACTGTATTATAGTTGGATTTACCAAATGTTCCTGCTGTATCTGCATGTACAAAAAGCAAAACTACATATTTTTACAACCTCGACCTGTACTGTACTGACTGACTGACAAGTGGAGCCGTATTCTGAGGTTGCATCCTTAAAGTAACAAGTTTGATCGGGATAAAAGTGATTCTCGGGTCTTCTTCAAATACACGTTTCTTCCGTTAATCTTTTTTTGTAAGAAAAGAGCCAAAAGACGACCCGAAATGTCTTGTCTGTTTTACGATGACTACATACCTCAATTACACTTTTTCCAGGAGATGTCGGCGTGCCGTATAGAAAGCCATTATCGTAGGGATGCCTCTGGGTGAAGCGCAGCCACTCTGGGAGGTCTGGGTAATTCTGCCGGTTGCACTTAAAAATCATGGGGTCATCGTACAAGTACCCACCTTAATAGAGTAGTGGAGAGATACACCAACAAAATAAATAAAGCATATTTCTCGTGAACACGTCTTGTAATGAGACAAGAAACAAGTCTTACTGTAGAGCTTAGACAAAGGCTCAAAGTCGTTCTGGAAAGTCTCTCTGAGCAGCTCATATGTGAAGAACCTCCCCACGGGGATGGTGACTTTGCTCTCTGCATTGGCCTCACACAAGGTGACCGCGCAAACTGTGTCAAGAACACGCCAAAAGGATTTTAAACGTGACATTGAAATTTGACAACACACAAACTTCTGATGCTGGATACTGAAGAATGATGTCACACAATCCTCTGATTCATGGCCCGAATGTTGCCAACAACAGATACTGAAAAAAGAAGCTATCCAGGGATGTCATTATACACAAAGTTAAGTTGTTTTTAAGAATAAAACTCGCCTGTGAGAAAGAAGACCCAGCTCCGGCTGCCTGCCATCTTGTTTCGGCCTTTGATTGACAGAGCCAAGCGGAGAGGGGCTTGGTCACTGCTAACGACAAGTCAGAGCTATTTTTACCTCGCTCACCTCATAACATCCGGCGGGCCGTCTGTGAGTGTGCAGGCGTGGTGGGAATACAGATATGGAGATATAAAATCATACGCGGAGTGGCTGTGCAGCCATGGTTTTTCCATGATTTAAGAAACTAAGTCCGTAAGCACAATTTTGTGGCGCTTAACTTGAGTATTTCTCATTTTTGGCTGATTTGCACGTACATTTTAAAGGAAGATATTGCACTGATGCATTAGATGGTTTCAGTTTGTGGATTTAACGTTTTAGACGAAATAATCAATGTGATAAAGAAGTCTAATATAACCAACACTTAAATGGTATTTTTTATTGTTGGTATGTTATTTAATCAGCTACACACAATATCTATATATACATTCACGAGGTAACGACATTTCTGGTTGTTTTAAACTTTTTTTTGACAAAATAGGAGAGGATTTTTTTTTGTGTGATGTTACTCTTTTAAAAAAACCCTGTTTACATGCCTCTTTACATATTACTCTTCATCTGTTTGATGTGTTTCCTTTATAAAATACTTATACGTCATGGAAGATAATACCTACGTGTAAGTACAATCAGTCACTAAATATCACATCTAACTGACAAAATCAGGAAGTTGCACTAAACGATTTGAACAGATTGCATAATGTCCTATATAGATGTTGAGGGAATGTGGTTCCTCTTTGTTCAGTTTGAATATATTCAAATGTACCAGTGGAAAACATTTTCTAAATACATTTACTTTTCCCTGACTCAAGATCAGTGCCAATACTCAACAACAGCACACTCTTTTTGTGAAAGCTAGCTATGTGTCACTACCGCCTCTGAAAAGTGATGCACATCCTGTTCGACAGCACTTCTGTCTTTTCAGGAAATACTCCTGCAGCTGTGTCCTTCAGACTGGAGCTTCAACGGATGTGAGATAAATTAGTTAACGTTAGAGATTGAATTAAATCTTAAATCTGACATGTTGTTACAAATGTCTGAAACAGCTGCATTTATGTGTTGCCACTCGTGTACATGAATCAGCCCCCACACACAACAATCAGAAACCGAGGGGACGTGGGGAGACTCAGAACCAGAAGAGGGAAATGCTTTGTCTACCTTCAGTGATAATGTTTAGTATATCTTTCATCGCAGATGCAGAATGCAGGAAGCAACAATGTGTCCTGTAAATAAGGGAGGTTTCATTGGCCAAGGAGGTTTGACGTGAGTCTGACTGGGTCCTAAAGCTAGACGAGGTGGGCCACACCTCAGTAGTTTAATAATTACGTGTCAGGAGACTGTTTATGAACTGGTTATAAACCTCTTATAAAGTTTTGTTTTTGTGCGTGTAAAATAACAAAAATAATTTTACTATTATCTTAATATGTATAAACATTTCAAACACTTGCTAATGTTTGTCATTCTAACCATTTGACATGGTTAACGTTAAGCAATACATTGACTTTGAACTGTTTCGTTATTTATTGTTTTTATTCAACATTTACAACTGTTCATCCCTTATTAAGTAACACGTTATACTGTATGTCCTTTATCATGAGGCTGTTTTAACCATTTACCCATTTTCTAAAATGTACAACCGTTTATCCTTCCTTATTTGTCTCTTTCAACCATTTATCCACTGTTAACTAACATTTTAAACTCTCCACTCGGTAGGAACGGGCCTATTTTCCCAACTGTTAGCTAGTTAATGTCATTTCGACCGTTCGGTAAACATGGAGCCGGTGACGGGCGCTAGGACCCAGCGGCTCCCTCCTCCATGCGGCAGCACTCTGCCGCTGAGAGACGAGGACCAGAAATCTGCAGCTCGCAGAGTGAAGAGATCAAAATGATGCTGCCTGTAAAAAGGGATTAAACGCAAGCAATCTGTCGTCAGCGACGGTAAATCCGAGGCTCATTACGGTTCTGTTTTTCTGTGAAAATCCTTATTTCTTGTAATGACTAATGGCAAATATCCGCGAGGGTTAGGTTTGCATTGTAGCAACTGCAAAGCCAGCTAATGACAGATGCATCGTGCTCACTTTCTCCGTTGCATTTGGACGGGAATTGCAGCAGATGCAAGCAGGCCTTTAATGCGATCTGTTGTTTTTGTTTCTCCCCATCTGCCGATCTAGTCTGGGCACCACCTCGCTTGGATCGGCTTGCTGGTGGATAATACCGATTTGGCACCGGGGGGGAGGGAGGGAGGCGTTTGAGAAAGGAGGCATGCCGTCGCTGAGCATCCGTCGCGACGCTTGACTCACCATGATGAAGACCGACTCCACATCCAAGAGCGCCGGCTCTGGCTCTGGCTCTGGCTCCACGCTCAGGAGCCCATCCCCGCACAGGAACGCGTACGAAGCGGGGATGCAGGCCCTGAAGCCCGTCAAAGACAATGCCGCCAACGGGGACCTGCAGGACGGCCCCCGAGGCCGCAGGTACGGCTCCAACGTGCACCGTATCAAAAACATGTTCCAGCAGATGCAGACCACGTTCCCGGCTGACGCGGAGGGAGAGGAATGCGCCAGGGACGCCGACAAATCGGTGCGCCTCTCCCTCCCCAGAGCCGGCAGCCTGAACGAGAACGTGGACCACAGCGCGTTGCTGAAGCTGGGATCCACCGTGTCCGAGCGCGTGAGCAAATTCGACGTCACCAAACCGGAGAACGGGCACCCGCGGGCCTCGTCGCCCAGCTACTCCAAGCTGCAGGAGACCCGCCGCATCTTCGAGCAGCAGCAGGAGAGACAGCAGCAGCAGCAGGAGAAGCAGCAGCAGCAGGAGAGGCAGCAGCTGCAGGAGAGGCAGCAGCTGCAGGAGAAGCTGGCCACCACCAGGGTCCTGCTGAAGACCGACAAGGCCTCGGGCTTCCAGGACGGCAGGTTGGACGTCATGGCCCGCTTCAACGGCAGCACGGAGTCCCTGGACAGCCTGGACACCAGCGAGGCCGTGTCCCCCACGGTCAGCCAGCTCAGTGCCGTGTTTGAGCGGGCGGCCGAGCTCCGGAACAACCTCCACCGCCTCTCCTCTACGCCGCCGCTGCCCTCCAGGGGGGTCAGCGCCAAGGTGGGCGTGTTGAACTCCAAAATAATCACAAAGAGGGTTTGTGCCTTTGCAGCGGGCCACCAGGAGGAAGATATGAGCAATCAGATGGGCCACGAGGGGCCTCCGAGGGGCCCCAGGGGGAGGATGGCTACTCCTTCAGAAAGCTTCAATGGGGGCCAAAGCCCCCCAGATGCCGAAGTGTACGGCGCTTCAGGAGAGCCGAATGAGCACCGAGAAAAGACAGTTTCAGATGCAGGTGTTGAGGTGAAACCCGAGGACTACTATGGGGCCAAGGGGCCCAACAGCACAATGCTCCAAGGTGACATCCGCATCTCTGCGGAGAACGGCGACAACGCTGCCCAGAAGCAGAGCTCTCCGAAGGGGGGCGAGAAGGCCAGCCGCCAGGCCGGGGGCGAAGAGGACGGCCCTCCCGCAGAAGACCGGTCGGGGCGCGACTCGGTGGATATCAGCGCCTACAGCGCGGTGGGGGAGGACTTTGGAGGAAGCCAGGTGGACGAGGAAGAAGAGGAGGTCGACGACCGCTACGATCCCGAGTCCAGCTGTGCGGAGATCACGGGGCTGCCGGCGGAGGAGGACCCGCCCCCCTCCAGGAAGATCCGCTTCAGCACAGAGCCCATCAAGGTGAGCCAGCCTGCAGCCGACACCAAACGGCGGTGCACCCAGAAGCTTTCGTGCAACTAGGCAGAGGTGCTGATTCGTGATTATGTGTGGCAATGTGGGATGTGTTGAGAGGAGGCGTGTTCATTTTGACCTTAAAGCTTATCTACCGCCGGTGCAGACTCAAGTCGGCGCCCCCGTCAGCTGTTTTAATGAACTCACTCACCTTCCGCTGGTGTCAGAATGATGCTGACATTTTGATTTTCCCCTGTTTCAACACGGGGCTTTGCACACGCTTCTAACAAGCCCCCCCCCCCCCCAACCTACCCTTTCACAGCAGCAGTTGCTAATGGGCGGTCCCGAATTCCTACTGTGCAGATGACGCGAGCCCCAAAAGGTCTGTGATGTAGATACTTATCTGCAACGCAGTGGGAGCTGCTTCTGTAAATAATTGCTCGCAGAGGAGGAACAAAGAGGCCCGGATAATTAGTCCTCTCTTTTAGAGAAGTGGACACTCCGCTGCTGCCGTGGCCAATGAAAGGTTGACTGACTGTCTATGGGGGAGCTTGGTGAGGAATGGAGTGTTTTTGTGTGTGAGTGTGAGAGAGAGAGGGAGGGAGGACGTGAGAAAAGAGACACTCTTGGATCAGCGAGATGAAAGAGGAGGCGGAGGTGGAGTTGATTTAAAGTGTCTCTCTGTGTCTGGGGGTTGTGTAATGATCTGGAGAGGAGCATCAGATATCCTCTCGCTGCTCTGCCTCGAGGCCTCGAGGCACACAGAGGCTCCGCGAGCCGCCGCCGTCGCGCAGAAAGCCATTTCGGTGACGAAGGGCTCCTGTGCCACATCGCGATCGGTCAAGTCGGAAAAGTTGTTCTCGCTGTTCTTCTCGTGTCTGCACAACGGCAGGCAGTGTGGAAAAATGTCAGTGTTGTTATAAAAGTCATTTTTCTTTTACACAAACCTTCAGCACAAACATGGCAACAATCCCTCGTAATGTTTTATAGTTCAAGATGATTTAAAGCCGCACACTTTGAATGAGTAGTTTGGTACGTTTCCATATTGGCTTTCTTGATACGACTTGGATGAGAAGATTGAAACAACTGCATTGTAAATATGAAGCTTAACATGGGATAGCTTAGCTTAGCACAATGACTGGAAACCAGGGGAAACAGCTAGCCGGCCTCGTGCAGAAGTAAGAAGATCCGCCACCAAACGTATAACTTCTAATATCTAACTCCCTAAACATATAGTGCTGGTGTAGTCGTACCGCAAGGAATGTAGGAAGGCTGAACGGAGGGAAATAGATTCCCACATGTTGTAAACATGTGTACAAACAAATATAATCTCTACAGGTTAAAATGCTTTTAAATCTGAAATCTGCTTTGTCCTGTACACTAAGTGTGCAGTGTAGAGTGAAAAAGACAAAAGCAGAATTCTATCACATTATTTTATCCGCACAAGATCAAAGATGTATATCATATACATATATGCTATATATATGTATGTATTTATATATATGGGGTTGTAAAGAAGTCATAACTCTTTGATAAAGAAAACAAGAAAACCGTGATGCATTTGGCTTGTGACCCTGCAGTCGCCATCGGAGAAAAACCTCCTACTGAGTCCCTTCACACTGTATCAGTGTTGCCTTTGTTATGCAGATGAATGCAGGGGTGGAGCTGGGGGGGGGGGGGGGGGTGTCGAGGAGGAGCGTTATTATGCTGCTCAAATGTCATGCGACTGTATAACTGCCAGCTCCGAAGTCAAAGTGTCAGTTGGTTTCACATCTAAACAGGAAGTGCCCATGTTTTGTGGGTATGCCCCCCCACCTCCCGCCCCCCCCCCGCACCCTCCTCCTCCTCTGTGCAGCAATTCAGCTTTCAAGCCACAATTGAGTCTTGTTGTCGTCGTAGTGATGGCGGCGGGACGTCTGGGCGCATGTCTCCTCCTCTGTCCCCGTTTTCCACCGCACGCTCTTGGCTGACTTACTTGTCTGTCTGTCTGTCCTCCAGCACTGGCGAAAAATAGCCGATCTGCTCCGGGTGGAGTTCACGCTAGCGGCTTTGTTTTGCTTTCCTTTCTCCCGCCGCTTCTTTTCTCCCCTTCGCTCTTTGTCACCAGTCTCCTGCTGTTATTAAAAATAGCAGCTTTGTTATTGCCGCGGACGTGCCTCGCTTTGGGGGCCTGCGCGCGGCGTCCTTGTCGAACACAGGAAGCTGCCTCTCATGTCTTATTTATTCGGTTGTGCTTGTATGTTTTAGCTTCAAAGCGGTTTTCGACACCAGCACTTCATGATGGAGCCTCCTGTGATCTTTCAATTATTTATCCCATTGTTGGAGAAAAAAAAGCATAAAATAATATAATCTCCACTGCGATTTGTGCAGTGTCGCCTCCAAACCAGAATAATCTGATTTATTTTGAGTGCACCAGAATCACCGTGCCCTCCTTGTCACCTAGCCTACGCCTAAAAGAAAAGCTCCCAACACACACACACATACACACTCTTTCCTGTGGATTTCTGCTGCCTATGCAAGGCCTACAACAGGAGCACCTATGATTTTGTTTTGCGCTGTACAACACAGAAGAAACTGTTATGTATTATAAAAAGCCAATGGGGGTTGGATTTGACAAACATAGAATAGCTAATCGCAGAACAGAGAGCGCCCACAATGCAACCTGGCGTGGTTTGTGTTCACCGCTCAGGTCAGACCGGGAGGGATGGCCCAATGAGTAACACATCAACATATGTCCGGTTATGCACAGTCCCTCTATTATTTAGACTGCAGTATTTCATAAGGTGCATTACTCACAGCCAGGAGGGGCGGGAGACCAGGCAGATTATCAGCAAGGTCGCTCTGCGCCACTTTGGGGTCCTGCAGCGGCGGTGGGCTGCAAGCGTTCACAGGATGCGCCACTTCCTCCCGATTATCATGTTGTCTGAGTGCTGTTTGTTCTTTTGCAATCTGTCAAGCTTAAAAAGAAAACAAGCAGTCTGTATACATTCTCCGTAAGTCTTTCCAGTTTTCTGGTTAACATAAGAAAAGGCTGATGTAATAATATGTTATTATTATTGTCCAAGAAGTGAAAAGCACAGTGCACCACCTCGTGTTCACTTAAGCTGAGAAGATGTTGATCTTTTCCAATGAAGTTGCAAATATGTAGTTTTATAATAATAAGAAAAATACTAAATTATTTCCCGTAACACCTGGAGACTGTAGTTTGCAGCAAACATTACACTTAAGCTGCTGTAAATATTTGTTTTGCACTCAAAAGAAACTACAGTGTGTTTTTGTTTTCAGCACAATGAAGGAACATGTCACCTGGCGTATCTCACTCAAGTGTTTTTAAATTAGACAATGATGGTGGTGACGTAACGTGTCAAAGAATTATAGTATTTATTTAATATTTATTACAATTCCATATGCCATTATAATATAGACTTGGATAATAGTTCAGAGCAGTCAAACTAAATATAACCAATTGCATGTGTGTATAAATAATATTCTTGAATCATAATACTAATAAAACTAATCTTAATGATGTATTTGTACAGTTGCTATACTAATAGTGCGGTTCAGTCCCCTGCCGCTGACCTTATTCTCATGCCGCCGTGTTTCTCCACGGGGTCAGCGAGCGCTAAGCTCAAACATGACAGCTGACCAACGGCCGGCCTGCCAAAAACATACAGGCCCTGGTGCCATGCAACCGTTTCAGTGACAAAACCATATATCCATTTCATTGGCTGGAGGAGAGTTGTCCAGGGCGACGGCAGCCGGGACCTCGTCTTTATTTTCTGTCTGTGTGTCGCACATCTGGCATCTGGATTAACTCCTAATTTAAGGAGGCTTTAGAAAGCAATTACCTGCCACTTCTGGACTTGTTTAACCTTCGGCAGTTGGGAGAGAAATTCATAATGCTGTAATTAAATAGCTGAGTGGAAAAGTGCTTTTTTTTGGTCTGCACATGCTCAACTTTGACAGCTTGCCTTCCGAGCATTCTGACCGCGAGACAAAAGTAAAATAAAAAAATTGGATCAGGGAGGCGGCATATCTCACTTTATGCACGGCAGTCCAGTGTGTTAGGATAGAGAAAGGACAGTGGCAGCAAAACCAGTTGAACCAACACTCAGAGTACTGTGAGTAATACAACAACGGTGGAGAGTCGGCTGCCACAGAACGCGAGGAGACGGGGTGAACACGCGCTATTTCTGCTCCGAAAAACCAATGGCACCGCCTCCACACATCCCATTGGCTGCATCCAAAATTAGATCTGTTTTTGAAGAGGGAGAGAAGTCGACATGCCGCTGTGGGCAGCGGAGGGGGGAGGGTTTTTTTTGGGGGGGGGGGCACTGACTCCCACAGTGAAACCACCACAGTGTTACCCAATCGCGCAGCCAGAAGGGCCGTGGAGGAGTAACCACGCGGCAGGAGAACCTCCAGAGCAGCTCTATCCTTTACTCTCCCTCACGACGTTATAAAGGGAATATTTTTACAACCCTCCCCGGCCCCAAGTGGTTGCTCTGCGCAGACACAGGCACGTGCTGCTGGAGTGGCTCTAGCTAACTGCCCACGGGAGCTTTTGTAGGACATCCCAGGCAAAATGGAGGGAGGGAGGGTGGAAGGGAGTTTCCTGGCCATCTGTTAGCTTCTCTGACCTACTATCTGCCACAACTGGAACGGCGTCCTCCTCCAGCACCCTCTCCCACCCCCATCGCCCGGGCCTTTTAATCCCAGTGTTTTCCTTCCAAAGATAGCTACCTCGTCTACTACTACTTGGGTGAGGTCAGGGATGAGTGGTGGTGGGGCGGTGCGGTGGTCCCCCATAGTCTCTTTGCCCTGTGTGGGCTCATGGCGGAGGGATGAGGGGTGAGAGAGTTTGTTCAGTATCGCAGATCGTAGCCTCGCCTGTCATGAACTTGCCCTGGGCATCAGGTCACGACACACATCCGATGATGGCTGTGTGTGTGTGTGTTTTTTTCTCCCTGCGGTGCCACGTTGAACGTGGCTGATCCTCCGTGTTTGATCTTCCCGAGCATCGTGGACGTGAAACGAGGCCACCAGGAGCCACCAGCTGTGGCCTCTTGGTCTGTAAACTCAAGGAGCACAGCTGAGCCACGTGAGCCACGTGAGCCAGTGAAACAATGGGCCCGCAGGCTTGGAGTGAACTGCTGCTGTTGTTGTTGTTGTTGTTGTTGTTTTATGTCCTGTTACTTAGGATGCAAACAGCGTATTTTGTGTGTCTGTAATCCACATTTTGCTAATCCCTCTAAATACGAAGGTAACCTAAATCAAAAGCCGTTGGACTTCAGCGCACGCTATCTATCATTTGCAGTTTGGTTAGCTTCCATTTGACTCACTTAATACACATGAAATCAGTACTGCGGTACCTAAATATATTTAGCATTAGGCTATAGATAAATCTTTATTTTTATTTCTCTGTAAAATGGGGGGGGGGGGGGGGGGCTTGTGGATTAAATGCTCAGAAACGGCTTGTTTTATCAGATCAACAGTTGATGAATGAATAAAAAAATAAATAGTAAATCCTTTTGCATCAAAATACATCAATGTACAACATTCAATGCATATCCACGATTCAGAGTCTGGGCCAGGATTGCATGCACACGGCTCATAGGGAGGTGGCTGAGCTAGCGGCTAGCAGCTAACGGTGCTAACAACGGTGTCATTGCTCACAGAGCAAAGAGTGTTTGCTGGAGGTGGAACCAAAATGGTATATTTCATTTATTCTTTCTGTGTAAAAAAATCAATTGGTTAGGATTTTATTTTTATTTATTTCATTTCATTACATCGCTGCCTTCCATGAACAAGCTCTTAAGCAGCATGTCATATTCATCGCCTGTGTGAGCATTCAGTGATGACATTTTAAACCCGCTCCCCTTTGGGTAGGCGAGGCTTTAGAGGGAGAAGCTCGCACAATACTCAATGAGGCGTGAAAATGCACATCCCAGAGGGCAGATTGCTGCTTACATTTCAAAAGGCGCTGTTGAAGCTGACAGGCTTTTTACCGTGGGGTTGCCATGGAGACAGGGCTCATACAACAAGTGTTAGCTTCGAAGCTACGGGCTGCTACTTTGTAGCACAGATGGACAAACAGCAGAGAGAGAGAGAGAGGGAGAAGTGCGAGAAAGTAAACAGAGACAAAGAAGAAGGGGGAAAAAGTGTTAAAATGTTGCCGCAGAGGGAGCGAACGATTGTGAGAAGATTTGAGGATTTAGCTAAATGCACATTGAAAGAATGTGTGAAAAGAGAAAGTCTGGCACTGAATTACTGTGGTTAGTGGAGCATGCGGCGTGGTGCATGCATAATCATCTTGGAAAACTCTTTCTGTATGTATGTGTGTGTGTGTGTGTGTGTGTGTGTGTGTGTGTGTGTGTGTGTGTGTGTGTGTGTGTGTGAGCAGCAGCTGCAGAAAGCCCTCCATTAGCATTCTGGATGTGGTTAGGTAAACTGTCATGCTGGTGGACCAGAGTGAATGTGGGGAAACAGAGGCCTCTGTCTTCATGAGGGCAACACTCGCGGTAGTTATTGATTGTGTTTGATACACATTGGCGCTGTGAAATGATGCAGCTCGGGGGGCTGCGAGGACGTGCTGCTTCTGTCTCAGATCAAGTGGTCGATAGAAAGCCGCGTATCCTGCTCGTCTGTCACAGCGCACATCTCAACAATCTCCGAGCGTCTGGTGGAGATATCTAGAATAACGTAGCATTTATTTTGACATGAATAACACTCCTGTGATATAATTCTGTGAAGAGACCTTTAACTGTAACGTAATGAGAGAAAGTGGAATTGTGTTTATCATGTCAATCTTTCCATTTGTATTAGCCTAAGAGGATCAATATTACAAAAAAACTGGATTCAAAGTACAGATATAGATATTCTGGAATAAAAGCGGCAGTTTAGTTTTCGGTAGATTTGGTTTCGATCACATAGAATGAAGTCTGAATCCGCTCTCTTTACACCTGTTGCAGCACAGACACACAAGTGATTCAACATTAACCACACTCCCCAAGGTACACGGGAAGTGGTTTGCTTTCCGTTTTCAGTAGCAGATACTATATTTAGAGAACATGCTAGAAGAACTATGTAGTGGCACGAAACTATGATAAGCAGAAATGACTGTAACCCAAAGTTTTCCTGTTGCAGTTACGAACAAATGTTACCTCTGGTTAACACTGACTGACCTTTGGACAGCGCAGGGGGACTAAAGAAGGGCCTTATTTAAAGGAATAGTTTGACTGTCTATATGCTGAATAAATGGCTGCAGACAGGATACAGCTAGCTTAGCGCAAAGGACGGGAAACAGCTAGCGTGGCTTTGTCTAAACTAAAAAAGGCTGCTTTCACAATATGTTTTTTGAAAAGATGCAACGTGTTAAACAACACACTTGCTACCCTTGTTACCAAGTGTGAGGCTAGCTGTTTCCCTCCACTGCCAGTCTTTGTGCTAAGCTAAGCTAAGCCTCTTCTGATAAATATAAATGTTGTGATAAAAACAAATATTCAGCTTCATACTTGACATATAAAAGCATGGTATTATTCTTCTCGTCTCATAAAAAAAGCCACAACTCCCACTGCCGTCTTCAAGCTTGAACAAAGGTTTGATCGAACGTCTCTGCTTCCTCCTGCAGGTGTTTGCCACCTACCCCAACGAGGACTACGATCGGCGCAACGAAGACGTGGATCCCATGGCGGCGTCTGCAGAGTACGAGCTAGAAAAGAGGGTGGAGAGGCTCGACCTGTTCCCCGTGGAGCTGGAGAAAGGTACAGAACGTTATGAAGATGTGCACAGACGTTGAAGGGTTCAAATCATTTGTTTTAAAGCTGCTAGAGGAACCTGGTGGGTGGTTGCGATAAAACCTATTGCAACCATCCAGAATCAATTTTGTTTTTTTTGGGGGGGGGGGATTAACCCCAGTTGGACAGTTTAATCCTTCTGTCTCTCTTTGAAGCCAAATGAAAAAAAAAAATACATTCTTTATTACTTATGTAAAAAGTCCTTTAGTGCACACCGACTGCCTTCTGCCCACATCCCTGTTCCCCCCTGGGAGCCACGGTTCCCTCAACATCCCTTCAACATTATAGTGCATTAATATATTCATAGACGACTATTTTTAGAATGGCAAAGAGGGCAGGTTACACCGGGTTTAATATGTGACCATGTTTAAAATGACAATATTAATCCCGAAGGAGATTAATCAAAGAGGGATATAAAGAAAAATAATACACCTCAGAGTGTTATAACTAAGTTTGCCTTTACATACCAAGAGGTTAACTGAAATAATGTTGTTATTGTCCCCAAGGATGCAAAGAAGCTTTCACAGGCTTTTATAACAAATATAAATGGACTGCAACAACAAACACATTGCTGCTCTTGGGTTATTATTTTAAGTGCAAAGAAAACCTCTCACATCGCTGGTTATCTAAAATCCTGCAAATACCTCGGACTTCTTTTCATGGAATTGCTCCAGAGTCTGTGGATGATGTGCTGCAAAGAAACGCTGCATCACTTCCTGGTAGAACCACCTCTCATGCACTCTGCTGCTCGCTGATATAAAAATAAAGCCTGGCAGAGACCTGCGCTGCAGCTGCATTCTGCAGCAACAATACTCACAACTAAAACTGTACTCTGATGCATAATTAGAAATGAGTAATCCTGTTTTAACATACTCTTTTTTTGTAGCGTTTAAAACTCTCCGCTCTTTCTTTGCAATTGTTTTTTGTATTAACAGGTTAAGCATTTATAATCCTGTGGGACAACCAGATACACAACTACTTATAGTAAAATGCAGTCTTAATAGTGTAAATGTCTTTAATAATGGGAAAGATCAAATGCGTACTCACCAGTGCGTTTAACGTCGGTAACACCGCCTCAGTCCACGCAGAGACGCGTCAAACGTGCCTTACGGTAACAGCTGCCGTTGTATTTCCCACGCTCCTCCAGATGGCGAGGGCCTGGGCATCAGCATCATCGGGATGGGCGCCGGGGCCGACATGGGCCTGGAGAAGCTGGGCATCTTCGTCAAGACGGTCACGGACGGAGGAGCGGCACAGAGGGACGGCAGGTACGTCGATCTGGTAAAAGGCAACGCGAGAGAACGCGGAAGGCCTATTGCTTGCCGCGTCAACCCGAGGCGAGCGCAGTAGTTTTTGTTTCCATTAGAGGTTGCCTCATTGTCACAGTTTGTCTTCCTGACATCTTGGCAACCGCGGGCGGGTCCCGCCGCCAAGAAACAAGAGTTTGGCTTGCGTGGGCTACGGCGTGAAAAGAAAAAAGGTCCACTGTGAGTGCTGATCGTTTCTCTTGACGGCCTCCTGCAGGATCCTGGTGAACGATCTGATCGTGGAGGTGGACGGGACCAGTCTGGTGGGAGTCACCCAGAACTTTGCCGCCTCCGTACTCAGGAACACCGCGGGATCCGTCAAGTAAGAGTTTCTCTGAGTAGATTTTATTGCAGTTGCTCTTATGCCGAGGGAAAAAAAAAGCCAGCGGACAGTTTCTTAGTTTAGTTTAGGCCGATACCTAAATCAAAGGAAATAGCTTGATGGCACTTGAAGGGATTGTCATGACAACGTACTTCATACAACATTTGTCGGATAGTCATTAGTACAAAGATTAAACTGGCAGTCCGGCTGTAGCAAAAACTACTTTAGCCACCTTAAAAATAAATCAGTTCAGGTACTCTTTATATTTACTGTGTTTTCACAGGAATGGTAACTAAGGTTTTATATCCAGAATGCCCGACAAAGTCTTTCATTTTACCACGATTGGTCGGTTTGTGTTGTGTTACTTTGGACTAAGATGCAGACCAAGTCCTTCAAACACCAAAGTCACCTCAGTTACACGACATCTGAACTGACTGTTTCTCCAAAGTGGGGACGTTCCTCGTGCAACCCCCAGTTGCCCCCCCCCCCGCTGTGAGGTCGGCATCCTTGCTCAGAGACGTGGTTTCCTCTTGATAAATAACCCTGGCCAGTCTGGACCGAATGCCACCACATCCGGCACATTCAGCTCCCCGGGCTGCAGATTCACATCTCAAGTCTCCTGGGCTCATGATTATACACTTGGCTCTCCTGAATGAGATGTCCCCCGCCCCTGAACCGCAAAAAACACAGCTATCAGGAACAAATACAACTTAATAAGTATCATTGTCAATCGCCGGCGGAATATTTGTAGCTTTGGTGCAGCTAAGCAAGCTCAATCTAAGCTCATTTATAATTCAGGGCTTGGTGGTCAGTGCTGTAAAGGGGATTGTTAGTGTGGTGTGACTTGTGGCGATCAGAGACTGCCACAGCTCATACATTATGGATCCGCTGCAGCGATGGTGAAGGGCACCGGAGATCAGACCTATTCATTAACAGAGGGGAAAAAAAAGAAATCTTCCAGCGGACAAATAGATGATGGGCAGGAAGCGCGTTTGTGAGCATTTAATTACCCGTTAGAAATTGAAAGGCTGCAGCGGATGCTTAATAACCGTCTGTGGCTCCACCGGGATTTACTGTGTTGTTTTTTTTAATTGTTTACACGGTGGCTTTAATTGGAGGAAGATTTGTGAGCCTCAATCAGGAAGCATGTAGTGCCTGTAAAAGACATGGACAATGGGCTGAAGGAGAGGAAGGGTTTGATTCTAATCGCACAAGACGCCGGCTGCACAGAGGCCGCTTTCGCGTGGCTCCAAACAGGAAGACGCGTTCTGTCATTAGAGAGCCAGCACATTCCTGACTACGTTAAACCAACCAACCAACTCCAGAGGGTCCCAGGAGATCCATGCGTTATTTGGGTTGCACATGCAGTATCATGACTGGACTGAACTGAACATACACAGGTTCGTGATCGGACGAGAGAAGCCGGGTGAGCAGAGCGAGGTGGCCCAGCTCATCCAGCAGACCCTGGAGCAGGAGCGCTGGCAGAGGGAGATGATGGAGCAGCGCTACAACCAGTACATGGACGAGCAGGAGGTGAGGCTTTCAGGAGGCTCCAAAAACAAGGAGCCCGTGCGGTGGTTGGTTCGTCTACAAATGCATGAAATAGAAGATCCAGGATGCTAATTTTCAAGAAAAGTCAGTATTTAGAGAGGATCCATTCCAGGGCGTGTGAATATCTATCTTTTAAATACTATAAACGTCTTTGATTTAATCTGAATGCATTGATTAACATTTAAAGTCATCAAGTAATCAATAAATACATGATTTTCACCGTAGGGGCACAACATATTTCCTTAGAAGTTAATGGTTGGCTCTGCGTGTCCCCGGTTCCCCTTTTAGGGTTATGAAATGTATTCCGCGTTAAACCGAAGTCACCCTCTCTGGTTGGGACGTCTCGTTGGAAGCCACACAATTGTGCCCATTACGCAGCATCAGTGTGACGATAAGCTCAGCTCCGACAGGCGGGACGGATCAAAGCGACTCAAACGTGTTGCCCTCGGATGTCCTCTGCTTTGATAATCTCAGATATTCTTTTTTTTTTTTTGTCAACAACCGTTTTCAAAACACACACACACACACACGGCGGCTGTAGTTTCATTATACCGACGGAGAGGAAGTTGCCCCGTCTCTGCGGCGTGACGCTGCTTCTTGAAAAGCAGTAGGTTGTGCTATGGAGGGTACAGTCTGCTCCCGGGACGTCTGCGCCATCTAGTGGCCGTTTGGTGTCAAGACATTATTAAATCACTACATATTTGTAATAAACACTTTGTAATAAACACCTGGGACATTTTATCCAAAGGGTATCGCTGGAAATTATTGTGGTCTGATCCATTCACACACCCGGCTGCATCTGGACTCAACTGGAAATACATCAAACCTGACTTGAACGGGTCGGTTCACCCTCAGCAGCTGTGGTCGGAGGGGAACCGGCCTTTTAAAAACGCAGAGAAATGGTCGAACAGGTTCCTAACCTGGACTTCGTCCCTGCAGGGCGGCGAGTACGGAACGGACGAGGAAGAGGACGAGGACGAGGAGGTCAGCCCGCCGTATCCCAGCGCCATCGAGGTGTTCGACTTGGCGGAGAACGAGGACATGTCGCCCCTGGAGACGGACCCCGAGAAACTGGCACATAAATACAAAGAGGTAATGGGAGTGTTTCTTTCCGTGTAATCACAGCCTGTTTCCTCTCACGTGGTGATTAAACTTGTCATCCTCCTTTGCTATGAAGCTCCAAATAAAGCATGCTGTGACCCAGGCTGAGATACAACAGCTGAAAAGAAAGGTAGGTTGAATCGGCATGTGTCGTGATCACGCATCCTACCCTGAGACAGAAGCGTCGGCTTATTTAAGGATTCATTGAAACCCCGCCTCCTCCAGCTGCACCACGCGGAGCAGGACAAGCAGCGCTGGCGTATGGACAAGGCCCAGCTGGAGCAGACGCTGCAGGAGAACAAGGAGCGCATGGAGAAGCTGGAGGGCTACTGGATGGAGGCCCAGAGCCTGTGCCAGGCGGTGGACGAGCACCTGAAGGAGACGCAGTCCCAGTACCAGGCCCTGGAGCGCAAGTACAGCAAAGCCAAGCGCCTGATCAAGGAGTACCAGCAGAAGTGAGACGGCACGACGACAAGGGCCAATTTTTGGGGGGGAGGGCAGGGGGGGGTCATGTCCCAGTCACTCAGTCTGACACTCTGCCTCCGTTGAAACAGGGAGATCGAGTACCTGAAGAAGGAGACGCAGCGCTGTGCACAAGTTGGCGCCGAGGCCTCGCTCCTCAAAGAGGAGTCCGGGCAGCTTCAGGAGCAGGTAGGGTGATGGGAATGCACGTTCACGCCAGTTTGCGTTCCAACAGCACTCAGGAGTCCTGTGACCTTCGTACGAGCTAAAGGGAGAATAACACGAGAGACTCAACGTCTGTGTTTCATTCACTAAAACAGCATTTGCATGTAACAAAAGGAAGTTCTATTCTTATTACACACAAACCTTTTGGTTTTGGTCAAAAATGTAACCGCCTGGCCAAAAATACCAAAACCATAACGGAGTTGTCTTTTTGAGAGGTGGTCCTGCTCTGGCTCTCTCCGCTTGGCCCCTCCCATTCCACGTTCTGCATCTAAGCCCCTCCCTCCCCCAGTGCACACTCTCTCCACCAACTACCGCACCACAGAAGAAGACAAATAAAGGGCAGTAAGATATCGCAGACCATTTTACCGACTCGGTTCTTTGAATCTCGTTCAAATGAACAAATCTTTTTTTGAGAGGACTCGTTACTCTCGAGTCCTTGTAACGATTTGTTCAAAATCACGACACATCACTATAAGGCACAGCTCACGGAGCACTTCAAACAAACCATAAATATTTTTTTCACTGCAGTCAAAGATCCGGCATTAGCGAGGACACCTCGGAAGGACCCTATTTGGTCTTTGTTGTGTCCTGCCGTGAACTCACTCCGCAGCACGTGGGCGGTGATGCGTGAACAAAGTGTGCACAGTTTGGGTGCTTGTGATGCCAGGCGAGCTATTGCTTACAGATGAGTGTATTACTCAAACATCTCTCTCTCTCTCGTCTCCAGGTGGCCGACCTGGAGTGCAGGGTGGAGGAGCTGAAATCTGAACCTTTATAAAAAAGAAAAGCCTTCTGTCGGCCGCGCGTCCCAGAGAGCGTTTGGGGCTCGTCGGCTACGGGAGAAGACGGTGTTATTGTACTCGACCTGCAGGGTATTTCCTCGGTTTCCAGTCGCATATTGTAAACGTGTCCTCGGCCACGCCCCTTTTAACCGCGTCCTCGGCCACGCCCCTTTTAACCATGTTTTTGTTACCATTTACGGGATTGTGAAGAACAGTTTTAGCATCACAAATACAGACTCTGTTGAGCTCTAGATGTACTGTTCCTTTTCAGTATTTAATCCCTTCATTTGTGGTTAAGACGGACCAGGCTTTTGCTTTGCCAAAAAAAAAAAATCTTTCTTTTTTTTGCCTTGTTTTGTGACCTCTTTCTTTGTACAGATGTGATACCGTGTGGTTTAAGAATCATTTTTGGTTTGTAAAATTTTTTAAACTGTGTGTAACATATAACATAATATAAACTAATGAGATTGAGGGTCGGTGTATATTTTGAGTGATGTAAATTGGATGGAGATTGCACTGAAGAAGACATCGACAAGGTGCTTCACTGGAACGGGAGCCGTGTTTCGGGATGGTAGAAGCTGTAACCCAACCTCTGTAGGGGTCCTGTCACTTAACCTTGAGAACCACCTGCTGCCTACCTTTCAGAAGTGTTTGTGTGATTTTTACACACCGTAAGACTCATCCGCGAGCCTCCAACCCCTCTCGATTCAACCCCCCCCCTCCCGCATCTTTAAACAACAACAAAAAAAATAAAAGTAGGACCACAGAAGCAAGCCACAAATGAACAATGGATCTCTTCTCCCCCCTCTCCAAATGGATGTTGTCAAGGACTTGTGTACCTGGTATTAGTTAGGACTACTGATATAAACATGACAGCGATTGTCAAAAAGAAGCCGTTACCAGCGAGCAAAGATGTTGATTTAAAAAATGCGCGTGTCTGGAACCAGCAGCTGCACTGGACACGTCTGCGTTCAGCACACGGGAAACACTGCCAGGTTCGTACCGGTTTCAATTCACGCACAGTTTGGAATTGAGTCTACTTGTGTCAACTGTCATGCCAGTATGTTTGTAGAGTTCAGGTAAGGCTGAAATATTTTAACTTTACTTAGTATTTATAAACATAGTCACGGTGGAAATATGAGCTAACGAGAACAAAAACTGACAAAAGCAATGTTGAGAAGACCGTTGATGAATCAAGAATAATGAATTGAGGGGGAAAAAAAGCAGGCATGGTTATGAGTATTTTCATAATATTAAGGCTTGTACAGTGCACATGCTTTGCATTGTATGTTTTGTGGAATAAATGGTCAACAGTGACGGTGCAGTTGGTGTTTTTATTTCAAAGTTAACACTGAGACAATAATCTGTCTTTCATGGACTGTGGCGAGCTCAGTTTTACTTAGTTAATTGCAATGATTTAACAATTAGTTTTTTGCTGATGAAGCGCTTTGAACAAACATTAAAATAATTTCACATACAGGGACAAGAAAGAAAAAAAGTCCTCCACAACTCGAGCATTTAGTGCAAAGGCGTCGCCTTCAAAGTCTACGGGTGCATCTTCTGGTGGTGCCTGCGCAGGTGATAGTTCCGGGAGAAGCTCTTGCCGCACTGGGTGCACTTGAACATCCTCTGGCCCAGGTGAAGCATCTGGTGCGCCTTGAGGCTCTGCGGGCGGCTGAAGCTCTTGCAGCACTCGGTGCAGCTGTGCGGCCTCACGCCCGTGTGCTTCCTCTCGTGCCGCTTCAGGTCGCCCGACTGCCGGAAGCTGTCGCCGCAGTGCGTGCACAGGTACGGCTTCTCCCCCGTGTGGGTCCGGAGGTGCACGTTGAGCTGCCCCGTGTAGGAGAAGCTCTTGCTGCAGTGCGGGCACGCGTACGGCTTCTCGCCCGTGTGGATGCGCTGGTGCTGCTTGAGGCCGTAGTGGTTGGTGAAGCCCTTGCCGCAGTCGGTGCACAGGTACAGCAACTTCACCTGCTGGAAGCACGAGTGGGACTTGAACTCTTTGGCGCTTGCGCAGCTCTGTCCGCAGTGGGGGCACGCGTACGCTTTCCCCCCCGCCTCTTCCTCGTCCAACCCCTCCTCCTTTTGCTCCACGGTGTTGTCCGGGTGGGACAGGTACTCCACCGGGTGGTGCCTCTTGACGTGCTTGAGGAGGTAGGTCTTCATGGTGAAGGAGAACTGACAGAAAGAGCAGGGGAAGAGCTCCGACGTGCAGTGGTACTTCATGCACGTGTTGCTCTTCTGGTGCTGCTTCAGGTTGCCGGACGTGGAGAAGACTTTGCCGCAGCGGTCGCAGCTGTAAGGCGCGGCGTCCTTGTGCGCCGTCTGCCGGTGTCTGTTCAGGAAACCGGACTTGCTGAAGGTGGCCCCGCACAGGCCGCACTTCAGCGGTTTCAGAGCGCACTTGTGCGCCCTCAGGCCGTCCGGGTTCCCATACGCCCGTTTGCAGCGGTTGCAGCTGAACCGTTTGTATTTAGCCAACTTCTCGTTGGTGGAAGCGGGCGACTCCGCTTCGGCGGAGCTGGCGGGTGGCTTCCTGCGGGCGGCGGCCGTTCGCTTCGGGGCAATGAGCTTGGTTATGGCGGAGATCTTGGATCCGGCCCCGAGTCGCTGAGGCCTCTGGCGTTTTTGGAAAACCTCCACCCGTTTTGACGTCTGCGGGCTGAAGTCCGGATCGCGGCTCCGATCGTCCTCTTGGCTCGCCACTGCGGCCTCCTCGGGGTGATGCTGCGTTATGTGCTGCTGGAGGGCGTCCACCGAAGAGAAGGTCAGCGAGCACTCGGCGCAGCTGAAGGGCATGGCGGTGGATTCCTCCGGAGCTTCGTCTACCTCCTCGCCCCTCTTGCTCTGCTTTTGGTGATGCAGCAGGTGCCTGGTGAGGTCGTTGTACTGGCCGAAGCACTTCTGGCACACGGTGCAGACGTACGGACGCAGCCGCTCGTGGACCGTCGCCTTGTGCTTTCTCAGGGTCGCCTCAGTCGCGAAGCCCCCGCCGCAGCCCGAACAAACGTGTGGAGACGTCCCCTCCTCTACAGCAGGTGCGTTCTCCGTGTCAGTCACATCCACAGCTTCTTGCACACTCTCGCTTTGATCAAGCGTGTTTGTTTCCTCAGCTTTGGCTGGATCTGCAGAGTTGAAAGGTTCGGACCTCGGCGTCGAGCGCTCTTTGTCTGGATCAGAAACAATGCCGGTGTCTTTAGTCGCGGCGTGCTTTCTGTGGACCAGCTGGTGTCTGATCAGGCCGGACGCCTGGCTAAAACTCCGCCGGCACTGCAGGCAGCAGTAGGGACGTTTGTTCGAGTGGACGCAGAGCTTGTGCCTCCTGAGGTGAGGCAACTGCTTGAACGTCTTCCCGCATTCACCACACGTCATGGACTCAACGTCGTCGACTGAAAACACCCCCACGGAGGCCGCGGGGACGGCCGAGTCGGCAGCGGAGGAGGGATCTTCAGCTTCAGCTGCCTCAGCAGCCGCTGCCTCGTCGCCGCCTTCGGGCGGCATGTGGAAGTTCTCCGTATGCCGACGGAGGAAGGACTCTGCGGTGAAGGACAGCTGGCAGTCTGAGCACGGGAAGATCTGAGAAGTCGCGGTTATGTCGCTCTCTGAGATTTAGGAGAGAATGTAAAAAATAGATCATTTATTATTGCAATGCAAGTACTTTCAACAGCAGAAAGGGATTTTTGTAACTAGGGAAACTTGGGTAATAACGGCACCTGTTGCATTCAACTTCATGAGCCAGATCTGGCTCCAAGCTTCACTAAAGCGGTCCTGAAAAGCGGCGCTGGGCCACACCGTGAGCTCGTCTCCGGGGTGGATGGCACGACAGCAATGGAAGAGGATGCTGCCTTTGTACTGGACCGCCAGCAAATTCGTCTCGTCTTTGTTACGCGCATAATTGATGTATCTGCAGAAAGAACAGAGGTAAATATTACAAACACGGACGGATCTATTTGAATTCTTTTGGTGGTTTAGTTTTTAGTAGTACGCAGAAGAGGGCAATGGTGAACAGTTTTTCTTGAAAGTGAATTGTGAGATGGAAAGAGAAAACAGTGATAAGAGAAGTCAAAACGTTACCTCATCCAGTTTGAGTGAGACTCTCTGGCTGCATCAATGTACTCGTATTCATCTTTGTCTTTGTAAATCTGTATTCAAGACGAAATAAGCAGATTTAATGATGAGTAACCACATTGAGATCCATTAAGAGAGGCCAAAGAAACTCAACCTCACCTCCCAGGAGAATTCGCTTGCGGCGGCGTTTTCTCTCGTGCTCTCCTCCCCCTCGTACGGTCCGAAATGCATTCCTGGGGACACTGTCTGCCCGTGATTAATGACCCCGACGCCGGCGTTGGGAATACTCGATCTGCCTACCATCAGGCCGTAGGGGAGCGTGAGGAGGGCCCTCTGTGGGAGACCCGGGCTTGTTGGAAAGTCCAGAATGAACGACGGGCCGTTGACGTTAGCGGAATCACTCTGGTCCTGGAAGAGAGTGAGCCCCTCCTCCCAATCTGGAAGGGCAAAAGGACACGGCCATTTGGATTTAAGGAAACTTAAAAGGGGGGGGGGGGGGGGTGCAGATTTAAGCAGAGGAGGAGTGTCTCTTTCTTACAAAAGCCACCATCAGACTCTGGGTTATCTCCGTGTCCCACAGTGTCCAGTAACTTCTGGATTGGAGTTTCTGCCGGCTCCAAAACCGGCACCACTACGGAAATAGAAGACGAACAACAGGCAATAATTAAGCACACATATAATAAAAACCAAGTCACGTCACGAGTTTAGTTGTCAACCAACCTGGAGGGGTGTTGTGTTCCGGGGTCAGGCACTCCTCGGTTATAACCACCTCCACCCACTCCACGTCGATGCTCCTGTCCGACATGAGTGCAGATTCTGCGGCGAGTTGATGGGAACTGTGACTCTGGAAGACAGAGGCTCACACGGATTCATACTAAACGCTAGCAGCCACAAGTAGCTTAGCAGGCTCACGTTAGCATGCTAGCCTAGCGTAGGAGGCTAGCATTACTAGCAGGCGGCGGCGGCTGATTGAGCTGGCTAGCTTTATAATTCACACATATTGGGAGGACACGCGTCCAGTTAGGGTTATCTGGGATGAGTGGTGTCAAATTATAACGAATACAGGAATAGTAGCATGGCTAGCCAAGTGACAGTAGCTGCTATGTGGCTATCAGACTAGCATCCTTCCAAATGTATAACTACTTTAAACTCTATTTTTCTACTAGCTCGAATGCCATCGTCTATATACCTGCGACTGATTTGCTAACTAACTGCCATTGAAAACGGTTTTAGCTGTTAACTAACCGATGGTATCCAACTAACGTTAGACACCAAATACTAAACTATCCTAGAACGACGCAGTTAACCCGGAAGCAAATTAATTATACTTTCAGAGTAAATGTGTACTTCCGTTCTTTTTCCAAATAAAGTAGCATAGCTAAGTGAAATTACTCCGTTGACTTGTATCTTCTGTAGCATGCGATTTAAGTGTTTCTCCAAACTGCAAAATGTAAGAATTGTCATCCCCGTTGCAATTAGCTGACAGTGCGAATGCTTGCATTAGAGTATTTAGAGATTGCGGTCTCCACACATTCCATGGGCGCCGCTGGTGTAGTGGTATCATGCAAGATTCCCATTCTTGCGACCCGGGTTCGATTCCCGGGCGGCGCACCACTTTTGCTTCCAAAAATGCACGTATCTTCTACACACTTTTGCTGGGTATGTTACCAAAATATACATTGCGGTATTATTTATGACGACTTACATACGTATTCACTTTATTATTAGAACATATTCTACTTTACCGTATTTAATTTCAATCTAATTATTGTATTGTGATACTATACCCTAGACTTTGTTATAATATATACATATATTACATATATTTAAGATATACAGGCTTGCTGCTATTATTCCTACAACTTTTTCAAATTAGTCTTTAATTGATCTTGTATAGTTTCAATAAACTTTTTCTTATTTTACATTTGAAATATTTTTGGTGTGTAACATATTATTGCAAAGTCTATCGGGAAGCTTTCACTAACAATTCAGAGGTGAAATGCTCATCTATGAAGTAATTAAATTAAACTGTTTGTTCAATCACACTTTTCCATATTATTCTGTTTTAATTTATTTTGGGTAATTGTATGCTATCTTTCAGTGAGCCATATTTTGTGATTATATAGATAAGGTTTATTTGAACGTATTAATGTATTTTTTATTAACAGTACAGATTCGCATTGATGTTGCTTTTTATCCAAGAGGTCTGTTACATTTATCCACTTTTTATAATTAGTAGAATTATCTATATGTTTCAATGCTTTAAAACTGTAACGCAAACTTTTGTATGCGCGTGCGTATAAGGGAGCTGAACTTAATCCTTCACACTACCACTGTGGGCAAGGCAGGATTTCCATTTCAAGCCCCCCATTAATGGTCAGTCTCCGTGGATGGGTCAACATTGTACAGCAGCTGTGACCGAGGCCTCGTCAAACTTTGGGACATGGAGACAACAGTGGCTTAGTGTGACAAGAGGACGTGGAGAACAATATTTTCACATGTAACCTTTTTTAGCAAACAGCATGCCATGTGCGATTGGGTCATTTCTTTGCCCTCCTCTCCGGAAGGGAATCGAGGCTGCTGACTTTTTGTGAACCAAACTCTGACGCCGATGAGTGCCTTATGACATTCAACCCCCCCCCCAAAGAAGCGGGACCCTCTGGGGGCAGATACGCTGATCAAATCAAAGATTCCCACCTTGCAAAAAACCCCACAATTTTCACAAAACGTCCATCCTTTCTCTCAATTGTCTTCTAAATTCACAAAATGTAGGATTTTCTATTTGTAAATGTGTTCATTTGCTTGTGAACAGACATTCTTTTCTTGAAATAAAGTTGTTGATGATATCTTAAAAATGCATTTTAAGTGTAGAAGCATACAGCGTCTTCAGTATGTTTTTGTACTCCTTTCTTCCCCTCGTGTCCTGTGCCTGACAGTGTTAGCTATAAGTAACTAACATAAATACCCTCACTGTATCTAATACCTCTTCTAATAACCCTAAATGTGGATTTTCCTCCAACAAACTGAAACCTCGCCCACTTGTTTTCCTCCGTTTTGCTACTGACTGTGTGGATGGAAAGATTCACATTGTATCTCATCATATCCAATGATGTGATGAGTCAGCAGAACTCCATCTCCACTGTTGAGTTGGTGGTGTTTTTTCTCATAGGAAGCGTGTGTGTGTTTCATAAAACCTCCACTAGGGGGCCATGTTGTATCATCAGATAGAGGCCAGAACAGGATTATGATCTACAGCAGTTTGCAGTGTGCTTAAAAATGTGTCCATTGGTATTTTGATTGTTTAGCAGTTTCAATATTTGTGTTACTAAGATATTTTTGGTCATTTAAACAATTCAAAAGATTAGACACACTTTCTTTGAACGAGAAAACTTTTCCCCCACAGCAACTGCTCTCTTTCGAGATGACCAAAAACGCTCCTCAAGATTCCAACGGTTCTAATAATCAACGCCGGCCACTTAACATCTGCTGCTTTCACCAGAGTGTTTCCGTTTTATTCTCATTTACCAGTTTGCCCCCAGTTAATGCATCAAATGAAAGATCAAATCAAGCCGCATCGGGCCTCTGTGGATTGTGCGTCTGCAGCACTTCAAACACAATGAGTGATATCATCAGAGTGAGTGGCATTTGTCCAAGCCAGAGAGACCCCTCCCCCCCCCACCACCTGCCCCGTAACCCCCCCCCCCCCCTCCCCGCTGCCTTAGGGGCATCATTAGGGGCGAGGAGGTTGGAGATCAGGGAGAAGGTCCTCTGCTCTGACAGCAGCTGGGCAGCGGGAGTAACAAAAGGCCGGCTATGACGTCACACTTCTGAGAATCTCTTCTTTCAGGAGCGTTGTGCCGCTAATTAATTTGATCTGCAGAAAAACAGCAAACTGTGGACAACGGTGCCCCCCCCCCTCCCCCTCCCACCACTTTTTATTGTTCTCATCCTGCGTTAAAGTGACGCAGGCAGACATTGCAATCCCCTCCTGCCACCCCGAGCTCGGCTTAGCTCCATCATGCAGCACAGCCTCCCCCCCCTAGTGTTTCATCAGGTATGGGGTCTCTTGTCCAGGACCGGCAGAGCTGCGGGGGACGGGGGAGGGGGGGGCGTAATGAGCGTGAAATCAAAGCAAAGTTAAGAAAAGAGAAAGTCTTCATGGAAGAATGCTCTCAGACCTGGAGCAGGCCCGAGGGTTGGCCGGTGGAGAGGAGGGTACAGGTTTATTTATGCACGGGGAGCGGCTTGAAAGGAACAGCGCTTACCCCCCCCCCCACACACACACACCCTCTCTCGTTGTGAAAGAGGTTTCAGAGGGTTTGAAGGGTTGGAGGTGTCGAAAGGCGACCCCGGCTGACCTCTTGCTTCACATCGATCTCCATCTCCAAGGGCGCGTATTTGCATCTTAGTTCATTTGACAAGCTATTTAAAATTTTTAGTCATGCTGTGTCAGTCGGTTTAGACTCCTGGCTGGATTTAAAACACTCTTTCCAGACCAGGTCGGTCATGGCAGAGAAAGTGCTTAACCAAATCCCGATCTGCATCATATTCTCTCTTTTGGGCGGATTTGCATGTCACTCAGACGGGTGGCCGACTCGCCCTGGAGCTGTGCAGACATCACGCCGTTACCGGGACTCAGATGCGAGAGCTCGAGGGAGAAGATGCAAATCGTTCTCGCCCTGGAACTGACTCACGTTGACCTGATCTGAAGAAAAACAACCCTACTGTTGTGTTTGAAAAATGAAGAAACTCTGGACGGACAAATGGCATCTCGGATTGAAAGTTAAAATCAAAAGTATTTAACCTCCAGCGAAGTCTAGAACAATGGGTGCCTACAGGTATTTATACATACAGATCAGTAAAGGTGTGAAAGTTAGTGACCACGCCCCTGGGAGTGGTCTCCTGGTGAGTTCAATGTAACTCGTCAATATATGCATTTCATTAATTATTAATTCATGAACCGGGTCATCGGTTTATTTTTAATACTCTACGCTACTTTGGTAATTTTCTTCTTGCGGGAGGCCCCCCAGCGTGTCCTCGCGGCGGGCCGGAGAGCTGAAGGCTAACGCCGACGGGCCTCCGACGGGCCTCCGACGGAGCGGTGACATCAGCACGAGGGAGCGCGCGGCGAGCGCCTTGATCTCATCCCCCGACACCCCGCCCCCGTTAGCGGGCAGTAACCAGATCCATGTGCCTTTTTTTCCTGACCTCATTTGCAGATAGAGATCACGAGCGAAAGGGGATACGGCCACAGCCAAGGGGGGGGAGGCAATTAACGGAAACACCATTACCGAGATACGGGGCTGATTGGGGTTCCTCGGCGGGCCGCGCCAAACAGATAAGAGGGGTTGTGATTGCTCTTTGATTGGATCCGCGCAGCGGAGCGGGTTCTGGTTTGGCGGGAGTTGGACCACGCCGGCGTTCGAGGGGACCCCTCCCCCCCACCCCCACTGATTGATCCAAAGAGAGCAGAGAGCCGCGAGACCGCTGTGACCGCACATCAAGAAGATGATCAAAGAGGCTGCTGCTGGCTGCTCGTGCACATGCCTTGCAACCAACGCCCCCCCCCCCTCCCTTCGCCACAGATGAGTGTGCAAAGTTGTTACACACGGATGGCTCCACGCTTACATGTCAGAAAAGCCCCGGCATGTGCCGCAGAGGGGACACCTGAATTAGCCGAGGCCCATGCTAACTGCTGCGGCCGCACACGAGGAGCCTCTGCTTTTTTTTTTTTTTACTAAAACGACCTTTGTTTTCTCCTTCGTCCCCCCGGGTTTGGTTTTTGCGTTTATTAAATTAACTCGACTTGGCTTTTTTTCTTCAATTTCATGAGTCGACTGATTGCGAGCGCGAGAACATCTGTTCTGACGGCGGGACATCTGGGAGCTGTTTTGATGATTGCAAAGAGGTTACTTTTTTTTTTCTACACAGAAGACCGTTACAAAAACGACGAAAAATCAAACGCACCGCTGCTTCGGCACCAGAGTCTGTGGCATTTGTTGCGGTTGAAGTTGGATGGGCTGTCTGATCTTCCAGTACTCGTCCCCGTCCTCTGGGGGGCCCACTAGACCTGTTCATGGACCCCTTTCAGTGGTCCCCAGTGTTTCAGCAAATCGGCGCTCCAGCAGTTTGTTTTTGCTGATTTTATGTAGCAGATTTCGAGCACTACCTGCGCAACCTCACAATTATTTTTTGTAATTGGTTGAAATTGCGTGTAAAATTTCACTTTATGTCCCCGTAATTAAACGCTCATAAAACCAGTGAAAGCACATTTTCCGATGAAGTCTGAAACTACCGTTAACGACAGGCTGTACGATCCACTCGATTGTGGTATTCATGAGGCTTTGGCGGCACGTCGGCGTGAATGTGTTTCAGTTGCGTCACCATTAAACCAGAGAGACGGGATCGACCCGTCGTCTCAATGGGCCCCAGTCATCACAGAGCAGCGCCAG